TCCTGGGGTTAAATCAGCTGAGATCTTGGCATGACAATACACCACAGTTATAAATAGCACATATACAACCTAACGGGTAAATCAGAGGAGAATCTTGCTATGGGCTGGCGTATATCAGAGCTAAGCATTGATAAACAATATATGTCGCTTTACTGATAACAATTTTGAAGTTTAATCTAAGCGACATATACAGAAAATAATATGGATTAAGAAACTAAACCTAACCTACCGTAAACTTTATCTTTTGCCGATAATGTGGAATTAAAACGATGTAAAATTACATTTAATGGGTGGAACAGGGAAAACTAATGTAAAAACAGGAATTTTACGGAAGAATTTCACTTTCATTTGTTTTGTTTTCGATGTACATTATTTTGTTCCGTATTGCTTCCTGCCATGTGTCTTAGAACAATTCTGTTGTAAGCAGAAAGAAATAAAAACATATATAATATATTAATGGTCTGTTGGAGAAAAGAAGAAATAACGGAGAGAAGTGGGGAAAAAAGTAAGGACACTCGAAACGCATATTTCTCTGAAATAAGAGTACACGTGTATCATGGATATCTGACTTGCAGTTTGGACAAGAAGCATATATATATGCTTACTCAGCCAGGAAAACAAGATCAGAAGTCAAACTGTCTATGGGCTAAAAGACCATGGTTCGGATTTCCTACATTACAATTTTTGTCTTTTCTGGAGTGTGCAACTTATAACGTTCCTAGTTATGCAATTATTTCACCCTCCTATTACAATCGGGTGAATAATCCATACAAAACAGCAGGTTTAATTATAATTTTGTATATTTTAATCTTCATTTTTCTATATATGGTTCAAATAATAAAAAATAATACTGTGACATATTATGAAGACCAGCCAAACTGTTGGCGCAGTGTAGCCTATCATGAGTTAAATAAATTTAATTTTATTTAATGTTTTTATTCGGACAGGCCTAATTTTTAAACGCAACAGGATAAGTTCTAAGTAGCCATAATTAATTTTACAAAGGAGTAGCTCTGATAAATAACTGTTATCAGAACTTCACACACATTTTAGTCACACACTGATACGCTGCTGGAAACAACCTTCACCGTCTGCTGTATGTCTAACTACTCATATTCTTAGGTAGTTATAAGAAACCTACGTTGGGCATTGTCCACTGTCTAAAGTGTATTTGATATGTACGACGTTTAGGGAGTTGGCTCTACTCCCATCTTCAGGTGACTGGTTGTCACTATATTGACACTTTTGTATTATTAGTAACAACAGTCTGATCGAAAGCGGGACCTTTCGAATGCTAGGTTTTTACGTCAACCACTAGCACTCAAAAGTCCGTGGTTCGATCCCCACTGTTGCCACTAATAACACATTTATATAGAAGGCATTTGAAGGATACTCTGTACATATTTCCTGTGAATGTCACAGCACCACTAATACAATATAATGGACCCTTAAATGTTAGTCACAACAGTAACATCATTTCACGTCTTTGCCAGTTCTTCTGTACCAAAATATACCACATTCGCACTTTCTCCAATAACTCGTTGTCCTCTATTAAAATTGAATGTGCCATCCTTAAAATCCGATGTAACCAGCGGACAAATAATGCTATTTCATAGATCTCGCGCAGGTAAACGTCACTCATAGCTTTACCGTGAATGATGAATTAATATAATTGATCATTTACTTGGATTCATGCGAAACTAAATAGAAATAAGCTTGCGAGTTCGTTTGGGCTTATGATTTATTATCATTTCACTTATCCATTATTTCTGTTGTTCGAGCTCTAGTCCTCGAATTATTTCAGATATGAAAACGAAAATTCAAATTCTTCGTATGTTGATACAACGCATCTAAATTATCGCACCTGACTCCCGCATCATGGACCACATGTCTCTATAGAGTGCCTGGTCAATTAACTGGTACATGAAGGCGTGGAGAAAGCTCTACCAATCAAATCGGTTGTCCTTTAGTAAACCTGCGCCTGCTTGTCGCCAGGTTTCATGGTTTGTGTACACTACTCACCAGCAGATGGCTGTTGGAGCGCCACCAGCAGGCGCCAGCTCTATTGTTATGGTGACGTCAGTTCCCTCTCGTGCTGTAACACATTGTTGGGTATCCCCTAAGAAACTGGGAGGCTGTATATTGCCACCCGTAACAGGTTTCTTTTCCATTCCTTCTGGAGAGCAACAGAAAAAATGTTTTATAGCCTCATCGAGTAACACTGGGGTAAAGCTTTGCTTCTTACAATTCACTGAAAGAACTACATGCATGACTAAAAATATAACTTAGAAGTCGGTCGTTTGGCCACAGTCGCGGTAAACAGTTGGAGCAAATGGTTTCTACCCACAGCGAGCTGAGTTCACCTGTCCTCCATCTATCTATACTGGGCTCTAAGGATATTATTTCTTCCGGCATCTATTATATCTCTTCGTTGATCATGAAGTAAAGTATTTAAACTTGTCGGTTTAACTCAATTCAGTAATAATAAAGAGCAATACTATTTGGATTGGAAAATGAATAACGAATCCAGAAACAGGGTTAATTCATTTACCCAACTGTTAATAACCTCGCAGCGAACTGCATTGTTTCTCGGCTGACGAGCTGGAGCACTTAGAAGATAACGAAGAACGGGAGGGGACGGTCTGGAAGAAGGCGTTCTTTTCCGGTAGCGTCTTAATGTACAATATGGCGCTCACATGTGGGATGTTAAAAGGTTCATTCGAACTTCATTTAGTCACATACGAATAACATATTAGTAAAATATTTATTTTCTACTGTGCTGACCTGAACAGTTTGTTGAAATATACACATTTAGAATTCCCCGCATTTTTGTTTATTACCGTCTATTACGTCTTCAGTCCGCAAGGATGAAATCGATCCTACCGGCTAAGGTTGGTCGAAAAGCGAGAAGAAGATAAAAATACGATTAAAATTTTACTATAGCATTACTAAGGTAATTTAGCGCTACCTACTTGTTGTGGTAAATAGCAGTGTGAAAGATACATTATTCAAGTGAAACAGCTTCTGACTTAATTGGAACAGCAACAATTTAGACTAATGGGTACCATGAAGAACGACATGTGACATTACCGATACAATCTTCTAAAATATCGTTCACAATGTTTGCTGCTGTAATTGTGATATGTTACAGCTTAAGCTCTAATTCATGTAGTTCAATCTGCATGTGTTCTATATATATAAATCTACTTAAAAATCTTACTTTGAAAGGTTATTTTCAAATTATACTGCCATGTCAACATATCAAGGCATGATTTGACTTATTGGTTACGTCAAAATTGTCTCTGCTAGTAAACGTTATTATGTGATGGCATGACCTCATGGTCTGTATCGTTTACATAGTAAAACTGAAAATAAGGTTTTAGTTATCTTGACGAAGAATGCTACTTTTCATTGCGGGAATCCCCGAACCTGAACGTGTGGGGTGTTTGTATCAACAGAGCATCATTTACCCCCTCCAGATTTATTTTAAAGGCTCTAGCCACAAAGGTATGGACATTTGAATGCATCAATGTCATGGTAAGGAGCTAGAAATCTACGGTTGTCTATTTTTATTTGGCCGGGTCTGTCGCTCGGCAAGCAGGCGCATGATGGAGTCATGTCTTGGCAGCCTATCGTAGTACTAGACCGTGAATAACTCCAAAAGATCATTGCTTTTACCTGCAGTAACTATAGTCATGATTCCTTGTATGTGATGTCAAGGGTCAACAACAGTAGCTGCACTAGAAAACAGTAGAAGAAGAAAGGTAAGACCAGCTGTCTTGTGGGTCATCACACACACACACACACGCACGCACGCACGGCACACACGGGGAATACCACACCACGCAAGATGCGAGAACACACACCACCGTCCAGTCGACAACAGAGGTGGTGACGACGGTGGCGCCCTGTAATGGACGGGCTAGAGCTAAAACCGGCATACGCAAGCGCAGTAATACATAACGTCGCCTGGTGACGTGCCGTTAAAACATTCCACCGATAGGTGCAAAAAGCCAAAATATCTCTTCAGTTCTGAGGTGGGGAGGTTGTTAACATTTGAGAAGTATTAGAGTGCGCATTAAAATCGTTTCTAGGAAGATAGAAAAAGAGGGTTTTCAAGCGGTAGAAGCTAGCTTAACCTTTAATTTGAAGGACAGCAACGTTGCAGAAATGATGCACTTCCTGTTCAAGTCGAGTTATAACTTAGGTCATAGCCCGGCGTCACTGTTCTGACATTAGTAGAACCCACAGAAAATATTTTTTTTATAAACTTTATAAAATGTTTGGTATAAATCAGTTCGATCTGTGAACCCGTCATCTCGTTAGGACCCTTCAGAGAGCCCTGACCGCACTGTTACAGCTAGAATCTACCTTAGGCCCTCCTAATATCCATTGATTCTAGACATACGAATCCAAAGCTCTGTAATCTATGCCCAGCCAATGTTGGGTTCTCGGGTTCGAAAACTAATGAGGGTAAGGTTTATTTCAGCAACCTGTTTTATTCATGATGACACCAGTTCTAAAAGCTACGTTATAGCCCCCACCATAGTAATTCCTTAACTTCTTTCTCTCTGGTTACAAAACACTGGCAAGAAATGAAAATTTACATCGCAAGCAAAACACCGACTGAAATATAATTTACTTGTGACATAGAATCGTTAAAAGAAACAAAATATTGCCTTTCTTTTTAACAACTTATTTATTTGCCATATTAATAGATGATTTACATAAACATGTAATTTTGTTACTCTTCAATTAGGGAGTAGAAACAACTTCGGACATACATATTCATTTAGTCTGATGAATCTCTTCTCTAAGAACATGGGCTTAAAATCCATTCTGTTACAGTTTGTCTTTTTTTCGCAGGCAATTTAAATTACCACTGACAGGAAATTGTTTCATGTTTCCTTGCAAAGACGAACAGCTAAATTCGGTTTATCTCGTGAAAATCCGCTAAAATATCTTAAATTGACAAAACATCACCACCACAAAACTAAATAGATAAACAGGAAAGAACTCTGTGTTAGAATTGGTAACATTTACGTAGATCTGACAAGCTTTTTCTTTCCTCGGGATAGAGTTATATGGTACAATAACTGTCGGAAATTACACACCAGTACAGATGAATCTTGCTGACAATTGTTTTTATAAAGAATGTGCAATTCCTTTATCCAGTTGCTTTAAAACGGCAGAACACTGATGTGAGACGAGTAGGCAAATATTGCAGAAACTTCAGTAAATGTGGCACTACGTAAAATATTACTGCATAAATCATAATTAGTAATATCATTGTTACAGCCAGAATAAGGCATTGTAGTGCAGAGACGCATCCCCTCTCAACATTATCAGTTGAGTAACCCAGAGAAACCTCGGTATCTATCTGAAAATTTGATGTATTTGTGGAAGTTAGAATAAACTTCGAAACGTAAATTTGGAATATGTGTAGAAACAATCAGGAGCATTATAAGCTCTTTTGCACTCTTACATATGTTTATATTTTACCTAGGCACTGTGCAGTTTTATTCCTGATTAACGAATAAGTTATCGACTTTATATTAATTTTATTAGATCCTACATCATTCTAAATAGACCAACCAGTTTTTAGACCTTCAGCAAGCTGAGCATTATACACTGGAGAAAAACTTTAATAATGGAACGAAACTTTAAGAGATTTTTAAAGTATAATTGTCTCAAAAAGTTTCCATACTGGATTGCAGCAAGTTCGGTGCCATTCTTTATCTTAAATTACCATTAATTGGACCACTAGACACGTGCATGCACTTAGGTGCTTTGTTGGTTACTCCCTCTATTCTGTGCACAAACATTAGTTCAGTGGAATATGTTAAACCAAAACTTGACACTTGCGATCAAAGTTACAGGTAAGGGCAGTGTCTACAGGATTAACTGCTTCGTTTCCAAGGCAACTGAGGTAATTTTTTCAGTCTTCTCTTGATGGCATCATGCAGTTGTCGGTAGACCATAAGAACCAGGACTGGAATTGCTAGACGTTCATCCTTGAAGGCATACAGCCAGCACGCTACCAAGAACATCGCGAGATCCGCCAAGTAGCTGAGAAGAGAGCGCCATTTCTTTTCAGTTTCTTGCAACTGTTCATCCTGTTTGGGAATGATGGGGCAAGGTATCTGGGGTTTCTCAGGTTGGATTCGCTCTGGGGAGAAATGACGTGCGACCTCTGAAAACTGTTTCAACCGTTTGGCAGAAAACCTCTCTGTGGAAGGCACAGGGGAGCGATCTTTTGAAGAACTTCGAATGAGGACGAGATCAGGAGTTGTTGATTTTTTGAGTGGTGTTTGTGGTCGCTGAACTGGAGCAGTGTGTCTGTCATGTGCACTCTGCTCTGCAGCATATACCTGCGCCCCTACACTAATTCGAGTCTCCGGTTCTGGCCGTGGTATGTGTGATAACTTAGGTTCCGTTTCCTGCGTGTTGCTTTCCTGCTTTTGTGATACGTTTGCTGCAGCCTTCATCTCGGCAGTGTTGAGGAACTGTCTGACGGGTTTCTTGGGACGAGCGTGGTCACGAATAATGTCTCCATAGTATTCGGCCACTGCTTTGCTTGCTTCTGTATCCTCTTCCACAGAAGCTTTACGTATCAGCCTTCGTTTCTGCTTGGCAGATTCAGCGGCTGACAGAGCAGGTGCTGATATACGGATGATATGATCTACCGAAGGTTTAGTGTGTTCTGGCGATGAAATATTGCTTTTAGCGTGGTTTTCGAGGAATCGGGCACTTTCTGCGGAAATAGATATCTTGTCATCGTTCATTCCAAATTCATCCATACTATATACATCAAGCTGAGACGGTCCTGGTCTCTGTGATTCGGGACGAGTAGAAGGCGAGTGAGAACGTGTGTTAGAAATAAACGATGACGTCAGTTGTTTTGGCACAGTTTCCCGAAAAGACTTCGGAGGACTGCGTTCAAGATCTCGTGATGGCAGCTTCAGTCTTCTTTCTATCATGTCTTCCAAGTCATCTTGGAATTTGCTGTTGTGCTTCAGGATTGTTTTAATGGCGGCAGTGGCATCGACGCTCGACTGTGGTGTGAACTGTCGCTCTGGCCGGCGTGAACCGGCCAGAGGAAACTCCAGATTCGACGCTGCTGGAACCATGTTCCATGGATGATATGTGTCGTCTTCCTGTTCAGCAAACCTGTCAATGTGACGTGTGATTGTGCTACCAAGATGATATGTTTCCTCTTCTTCTTCTTCCTCTTCTTCTTCTTCTTCCATACTCTTATACAATTCTTCTTCCTCGTCAAATTCACTGCTCTCTTCCTCTGAGGATTCCTCTTCTTCTAATTCTTCATTATCACAAGAATCATTTTCTAGTTCTTCCTCTTCCTCTGCCTCTTCTTCGTTTTCTTCCTGAATTTCCTCTTCTTCTTCTCTTTCGTACAATTCTGTCTCTTCCTTAGTTTTACCTTCCTCGGCCTCTGTTACCGTTTCCATGCGCATTCTTTCAAACGTGGTTCGCTCTTCTTCCGCACTGGAAAGTTTCACGGGCTCCCTTCGCCTTAGAATCGACTCCGTATTGAATTCAGACTGTCGTGAAGCTCTTTTCACCTGAAGTGCGGCTTCGAAATTGTCTGTCTGCCTGTCTTGCAGTTCCTTGTGCTTTCTTTGGTGCCACGCGTGTTCTTCCTCGTGTGTAGATTCCGGACTATTTCTTCGTAGTTTCCTCGAGAGTTCTCCCGTCTCCGTCGACCTGGTAGGCGTTTCTACTGATTTGTGATCCGTAATCACCTCTTTCCTCCGACTCTTCTCAGCCTCCTCCTCTGCTACTGCCTGGTAGAACCTCTCCATTGCCTGCTCATGTAGGAGTTCTGTGGAGCTGACGGCATTTCGCAGTAAAGATGTTGCCCAGGGCTCGCCACTTCCAAGTTCTGGAGCTGACAGAGACAGCGGGGGCGGCACGCTGGAGTCCCCAAATATAGCGAACTCTGAGTTGCCTTCAGCATCTGCAAACAAAATTTAATTGCACTCCTTCCTTCATACAGTCATTATTATTGTTGTTGTTTTACCTTTTATGTTCTTATTGTGTTCGTGTGCTCATCTCTGTGCTGTATTTGTAATTGGCCTTCTGGCTTTTGATACAGCACACTAATAATAAAGAATTGAATTGTTATTAAATACTTTGAATAAAATAAATAATTGAATTATGGAATTGAACTGAGTGAATATTATTAATAAAATTGTTTAAAATTCTATTTTGGTAATGCTACTTGCAGCAAATGTAATCAATAATTGATTCTTGGTTTATTTTATGACACTTAAATTGCACGGATTTTGTAGTAACGAATAAGAGAATTATACGTGAATGATAAATTCGAAACCATGCGGAATAAAGAATCTCTGAAACGTCGGTCAATATCTATCAGACTACGCAGTGCAATATCCCAGAAGACAGCCATCTTCACTGAAGAGAGATTTTTATCCTTCCAGTGAAAGACAGAAGCATGGGAACCATGCGTACTCGATTCTTGTGTCACAACTGCTTTATTTACTCTGATGGTGGTATAGGTTCTGTCCACTTTTCCTGGTTCTTTTGTCAAAGGCTTCCATTTATTGTTTGGTGCAGATATCTCTGTCAGAAATGTTTTATTGCATTCTAGTTGGGGTTATAATTGGCTTGTTGTAATTTACATTTTCAGTGATTATTCCTTTAATCCAATAAAGTTCGTTTTCCGAGGTATTTGTCATTTAAAATGTATTTTCTCTGTATTTTAGCGCTGCTGATGGATTTAGTTGGCCTCATTATTGTAGATCCTGTGGCAGCTAGTGACGAGCTTTCTTCAATGGTATATTGTTCCTTTGTATTGAACACGTGTTTGGAATTTGTCTGATTACATTTGTTATTTAAGGATATATTTTATGTAATTTTGTGTACTTATATCATCCTGCATGACAAACATAAGCCAACTATTCCAGTTGTTGTCAATATTATTACCTTTTTCTCTTTGCATGCTCCTAGCCTCTGGCAGCAGAACCAGCATCAATTCCGAACTACCATGCAGAAGGCTGTCGTCTTCACGCAGGAGGGGCGGTGACATGAAACTCTGCTTGCCCTCACTGAAACTTCCTTCCGACACACCAGAATCATGTTCTCCAGAGCTTCCTCTTCGCTTGGCAAGTGAGAACTGCAATGACGCCTTCAAGCTCTTCTCGGACTCCGTCGGAGTTTTCCACGACAGCGATGCCGGGAATCCTTCTACTTCCAGTTCACCTGTACTGGGTTTTCTTTGCCTCTTAATTTCTGGCAAATCTTCTGGAAGTTCAGTTGACCTCTTCTCATAATTTTCTTTATTATGTCTTGTTGCAACGTCTGGTACTTCGTGTTGTATCACAGAATGCCTATCTTGTAACTTTTCCATCAACTCACTCTTTAACTTCTTCCTGTCACATTCTTTCTTCTTCTTAATCTCTTTTGTCTCACTATGTTTTCCCATTGAGGAATCCTTCGAGTCTTTTGAGTGACAAGGTTCATTTTTCTTGTCAACCTGTCGGTCAGGAAGGGGAATGTCAGTCTGGCTTCCGATGGCTCGAACAGGGCGCTCCAACAACCTAGGAGCGACACAAAAACACATTTCAACAACTTAAATAAATTACAGTCATCAATAAGCAGACACATTCAAAGTAGCAATAAATAAGGCAAAGAGAAATCCACGCATCATTTCTGTTTCTGCTCCGTTACCGGAAAGGTAAAAATGTTTAATTGCTATTATTTATAAATAAAAAAACCTACGTAATCAATGTCTTCCCTCAATGTACGGCAAAACACAGTTTCAAATATACTGCACGAATTATTTAATTGTTGCCTTTCAATTTGTTTGTGTTGCAGCGAGTGTTTTATTAGCACGGTTCTCTCGCTTACCCTCGTTTTGGATCAGGAATAAACACAACTTCTGATTCAGTACTTGGATCGCTGACACCATAAGGGTTCTCTGCTTTCACCCGGAACTTATACTCGGAGCCCTCTATCAGATCTGACAAGGCAGCTGTCAGATGTCTGCAGGTGGCAGCCTTCAGCCACACATTCCATCCAAGCTGTGAACAAAACGAGTGCCTGAAGTTCCCAGGACTTCAATAACTTATTCCTAATTTCATATGGGTTTTTCAGAATGCGTAATTACTCTTCTCCATCGTACACTAAAACTCATTGCTGAACGCACGTCATAACAGATCTGTTAAGTTTAGACGTCTTGCCGTTTTCAATGGGTGAGCTGAAACTTCCTTCCGACACACCAGAATCATGTTCTCCAGAGCTTCCTCTTCGCTTGGCAAGTGAGAACTGCAATGACGCCTTCAAGCTCTTCTCGGACTCCGTCGGAGTTTTCCACGACAGCGATGCCGGGAATCCTTCTACTTCCAGTTCACCTGTACTGGGTTTTCTTTGCCTCTTAATTTCTGGCAAATCTTCTGGAAGTTCAGTTGACCTCTTCTCATAATTTTCTTTATTATGTCTTGTTGCAACGTCTGGTACTTCGTGTTGTATCACAGAATGCCTATCTTGTAACTTTTCCATCAACTCACTCTTTAACTTCTTCCTGTCACATTCTTTCTTCTTCTTAATCTCTTTTGTCTCACTATGTTTTCCCATTGAGGAATCCTTCGAGTCTTTTGAGTGACAAGGTTCATTTTTCTTGTCAACCTGTCGGTCAGGAAGGGGAATGTCAGTCTGGCTTCCGATGGCTCGAACAGGGCGCTCCAACAACCTAGGAGCGACACAAAAACACATTTCAACAACTTAAATAAATTACAGTCATCAATAAGCAGACACATTCAAAGTAGCAATAAATAAGGCAAAGAGAAATCCACGCATCATTTCTGTTTCTGCTCCGTTACCGGAAAGGTAAAAATGTTTAATTGCTATTATTTATAAATAAAAAAACCTACGTAATCAATGTCTTCCCTCAATGTACGGCAAAACACAGTTTCAAATATACTGCACGAATTATTTAATTGTTGCCTTTCAATTTGTTTGTGTTGCAGCGAGTGTTTTATTAGCACGGTTCTCTCGCTTACCCTCGTTTTGGATCAGGAATAAACACAACTTCTGATTCAGTACTTGGATCGCTGACACCATAAGGGTTCTCTGCTTTCACCCGGAACTTATACTCGGAGCCCTCTATCAGATCTGACAAGGCAGCTGTCAGATGTCTGCAGGTGGCAGCCTTCAGCCACACATTCCATCCAAGCTGTGAACAAAACGAGTGCCTGAAGTTCCCAGGACTTCAATAACTTATTCCTAATTTCATATGGGTTTTTCAGAATGCGTAATTACTCTTCTCCATCGTACACTAAAACTCATTGCTGAACGCACGTCATAACAGATCTGTTAAGTTTAGACGTCTTGCCGTTTTCAATGGGTGAGAGCTCTCACCCACGGTTCTGGAGTTCACAGGTACAGACGACGCAACTATAGCTCGCCGAGACCAGCTACGGCCACCGAACAACGGGATCAGTAGCTAAGTGCAAGTTTTACTCCTGTGAATAACAGCATCTAGTGCAGTGTCACTTCAAAAAATGTTGTCAAATACCTTTTCATTTTTAATTCGGAATCCAGTTTGAACCATTTGACTAAATGTATTAATTTCCCCGATGCCACTGATGATGACCCCTTGAGGTCGAAACGCGTATGGCAATGGTGTCTTATTATAGTTTTAATAGTTGTTGGTTTGCTTACTCTATATTCTGTATTTTAACTGTTAATTAAATAATTCATTTAAACAAGTGATCTCCAAAAATCATAAAACTTATAAATACAGGTCAATAGATTGTAGAGTGCATGCCGAATGTTCAAGTCGCATTCAGTTTCTACGCATTTACATTAAAATTAATCAAAATCTATAATTCCATTGATCCCACTTTACCCTATAGTACTCGACGATGTAGTTGCCAATCTTGCAGCCACCGTCGTCAGCTGGTTCAGTCCAAACCAAGGTCACAGAGCGACCTGCAGCCTTCACCACTTCTGTTCTTCCTGGTGGCATTGGTCGGTCTGGAGAAGAATCGAGCAATGACCAAATACTGTTTACGAAAACAATTTCCGATTGCAGTACAGTATTCAAAAACTTATAGAGCGAAAGACACAAGGGGGTAAAAGTGTACCTGAAATGACCGTGTACCTGTATAATCGTAATGCATTATTTTTCTTGCACCCCTTGATGACCTTTTCACTACGAAATCAGAATTCATTGTATTCACGATGATTTTGTGGGAAAATTAACTAACTAACTAACTAGATGGCTTACCGAATCCGAAGGTTCATCACCGAATTAACCAAAGCCCTCCACCGGACTCTGTCCTGGGCCAACAAAATCCAGCCTCCTTCAACTCCTTTCTCCCATAGATCCCGCCTGAGATTATCCTCCCATCTACGTCTAGGTCTCCCCAGCGGTCTCTTCCTTTCAGGTTTCCCAACCAGTACCCAGTGCTCACCTCTTGTCCCATCCATGCACGCTACATGCCCAGCCCATCTAATTCTTCTCGACTACTGGGGGAGCAGTACAGATTTTTAAGCTCATCATTGTGCAGTTTTCTCCACGCCCCATCGTCTTCCCTCTTAGGCCCAAATATTTTCCTCAACACCCTGTTCTCAAACACCTGCAATCTGTGTTCCTCCCTCTGAGTGAGTGACCATGTTTCGCACCCATACAAAACAACAGGCAAGATTATTGTTTTGTATACTTTAATTTTCAGGTTCTTAGAAATCAGACGGGAAGACAAAATATTTTGAACTGAGAAGTAGCAAGCATTTCCTCCTCTTTATTGTATTCATATCGTCCCCCAATAAATTAACATCATCAGCATATGCCAATAGCTGATGTGTCCCGTTCAATTGAAAACCCTCCTGCCTATCCTGGACTTTCCTGATAGCATATTCTAGCGCAAAGTTAAAGAGCAAGGGAGACAAAGCACCTCCTTGTTTTAGACCGTTCTTGATGAAGAATGTCTCAGATACATATTTACCTACTCGAATTTTGCTACAGGTTTCATTTAAGCACATTTTTATTAGACTCACTAGCTTCTTTATGGGAAAATTAAATTCGGCGAAAGTTTCTACCACTCAATTCCAGGTCCTTCATCATCCCGTCACCTATTTAAAACTTAGGGTCAAAATATATAGTCATGCGATTTTTTTAACTACGCTGTCAGTAGCTCATACACAGAGTCGAATGATAAGACAATCAACGTTTTATTGGAGGGGCTAAGGAAAACCACGAAAGAACTCGTCAAATTAACTGGTCTCGGGGCCGATATTTAAACCCAGCACCTTCAGACTACGAAGTAGATGTGCTAACACCTCGGCTATTATGTTCAGTACAAGCTTATGTCTGTAATTTTACTTGTTATTTCATGTGCGTGTGTGTGTAACAAGACTTTATAATAGCAACCGAAGGGCGAGGTATAGTGGTTAGCACTTCCGATTATATTCTGGAGGTCCCGGGTTCTAATATTGAGCTAAAGGCCGGATATTCTGACAGTGGCTCCTTTTGGGTTTTCTCATTCCGCCTAGGCAAATTCTGGGAGAGTAGATTAAATAAGCCACGACCACTCATCTCCACTTTCTTTCCAATCCACACAGTCCTTATACTACTCTTAATGATACAACCTTTTCAGTCGGAAAGGCGGCGTTGAATTGCTCAAGATTCGACGGATTAAAGTATTTAAAGACTCAAAACACAATATTTAATTACATTAACAAGTTCTCCTTCGATGTTCATGGATTAAGGCATCTGAACTGTTTCACCTCATTATCAATTTGGAGACAGCAAATACATTCGTCACGCCGTATGAAGGGGATAAGCCCATCAAAAGACCTCTTCCAAAAGCGACAGAGAATAAGGTAATAAAACTCTCATGCTCTGAGCGGGATTCGATCGGCACAGCAGCAGCCGAATTTTCTGCTCCCGGTTTCCTCACCTGTGACGGTGACCAGGAAGGACACTGTATCCTCTCCGAGCCGGCTCGTAGCACGCACCTGGTACTCCCCGCGGTCCATTCGTCGAGCCTCGGAGATCCGCAGTCCGGAGGAGCGGTCAGTGTTGCTGACCTCGTAGCGCCCACCGAAAGGAATCGGCTCACCGTCGTGGTACCACGTGGCCCGGGGCAAAGGACGCCCTGCCACTGACACCTTCAAGCGAATAACTTCATCCTTTTCAAATATTAGGCCGTCCTCGTATTGGCGAGGTATACGAATGCGAGGAGGCGCTGGAAACAAGCAAGAAAAGAAGTCATACCCACCACTTAAGTGCACTTGCACTTACTTCGGACTTCTCGGGCAAAGCCTCGTCTTAGCTACTTTCATGTAATGATACAATATTTAAAGTAATCAAAATCACAGCACAAAATAAATAAAAATTTATATATTTACATTAAATTAAAAATTTAAAGATAAATGTCTACCCAATACTATCAAACTTTCACAGAAGTTTACTACAGGTTTATCTGTTGTTCATTTTGACTTCAGGAGGTAAGTTTCACGGCCGGCAAAATAGGCCCTAGCATGACTGACTGATATCGCATAACATTTTGTTAACGACACTTTCTCAGTCACACAGATTATTGTCGAATGGAAAGATATTTGTGAATGCTGAAGTGTGCAAAATTCTACAAAATGCCGTAGTCAGGACAGTCTCCCTCCGGATCGAAAATCGAAGCGATGACTTCCCGAATGAGAACCTCCCAAATATGCAGATGTGTTAATTAAATCCTTTTCCCTCCTTCTAGCCAGGCTGTGGTTCCCCCTCTCCTGCAGGCTCAAGGCCGATCCTGACCCTATTCTCCTTGATTAACTGGCCCCTGAATCTCAAACCTATTCTACGCCTGTGGCTTACTCATCGCCCTGACGATGGAGGCAGCAATGACCACTGAAGCGTTCGTAATTTTCTACCAGACTACACGGCACTACAACTCAGACGACCACCGCCGTCAGAACCTCAAATCCTACTAATGTCAAGGAGCTCATAAAGTTGAAAAGTATCGTGTAATATAAAAAGAAAGTGTTCAATTCGTAGGCACACGCTTTTTAGTGTTAGGTGAAGTTATCTTGTTAACAAACCACACATCACTACCTCCGTACCTTCTAGCCGTAACTTGGCCTTGGTGATAACGTGACCCGCCCGATTTGTGGCTGCACATTTGTATTCTCCCTCGTCAGTGAATGCTGTCTGGTGGATGATAAGAGCACTCAGGTCGTTCTCAACGATCACTCGCATTCGCCTGCTGCTAAAAATCTCAAAGCTGTCTTTGTACCACGCAATTTTGGGAGTGGGAATCCCGTGGAAATTAACTGTGAACTCAGCCTGAAAAGGAAATATACTACAACATTTGTTATTTATGAGCTGATACTCAGTCGCATTTAAGCACCATCTACCCAATAAACTTTCTCTGTTGTTTCTAGAAAATTTCTGTGTCTGTAATATTATAAAGATTATTCATACACAACATTTCTCAGAATCCGTAACACAGCATCTCTTTAGATTTCCGAGTTCTCATCTACCTCCGACCTCACAGGTTACCTTTTCATTCTCGAGGGCTACAGTGTCCTGGAGCTGGAGACTGAACTGTGGCGCCATAGTAGCCGGGTGGTATGCCCTGGCAACAGTTAGAGGCTGCGAAAGCTCGCCAGGGTCCGAAAGGAGATCCGCTGCGTTCTCTGCAGTCACCCGAAATTGGTAGCGCCACCCTGGCTCTAGGCCGCTCAACTCCACCTCTGGCTGCAGCACCAGGTCCGTGGTCGCGCGCATCCAGTGCGGCGTACCAGTCTTGCGGTGCTCTACCACGTACCCTGCAAGTACGCACGTCCTGTGTAGTGGTTACAGTACCAACAAAAACTAATCTTAAAATAAAAAATAATGAGATATCTGTCGGTGTAATGGTAACAAATCAACCGAAGAAGAGAGCAGAGCGGACTCCGGAAACACCATGTGTATCAATATACTTCAGATAATGCAGTGTTCGACATAACAATGGAAAACCTTTTTCGAATTAAGCACCGACAATGGCTTTCGAATAATCATGAAATACCTTTGAATGTCCAAGAACCAGCATAACAAGAAAACGGATTATGAGACTACGGTGGTTTATGACGAATTTTGATAAACACTTTAAATTATACATAACAGTTAGCACACTGTAATTTCAGTGGGTTATTTGATACAGTTAGTTGTATAACAATCTACTGGAATGGAATGTAACGAAACAAAATTAACCTATAATTTACTTACACAGAAGATAGAAGTTCATACAGCGTTAAAGCGAATTGTTAGAAAATGTAGAAGCCAGATTCTGAGAAGTTGTCAGCAAAGTTTGTTCTGTCTAACGTTTAACCCAGAAAATATTATATTCTAGGAAGTGGGTTCAGTTGTCTTTTCTTCTAACTCACCCACTGATCGAATGTGTAGATGTGGAAGTGAATGGGCGAATTAGTTAATTTGCGTTACGTAAGCATGTTGAGTTTTCAATTAGGTTAGGCTTATATATTTCTTACAAAGATTGGCCTAAAAAGTAAGGGATTTCCTATTCTTCAGTACACTTTAGGCCTATTTTAAAAACAACTCAGGAGAAAAGGGTCTCTGTCACCAGTCTCGTAAAAAATAAGCCATATTGTTTTCTCTATAGGTCTACATGTAAGCTCCGGAGAGCCAGTGTGAGACACAGGAATAATAAGAGGGTGATAATTGAATTATTTGACATTAAGGTGTTGACTGAACAGCCAGAAGGCCAATTATGGAATCTGGTCAAAAGCTTGAATAAATGATCACGAAACAGATCAACAGGAAAACAAGAACAAATACAGGAAATACATAAACAGTGACTTTGAATGAAACTTTAGATCCTGAAGGGTATGGGCACTTAAGTTAAAATGGAATAATCGTCACAGATTTATTTACTTAATCAACAAAAGAGACATAAAAACGCAACACAAAAATATAAGATAATTATATGACCAAAGGAAATTAACAATAACATGTATCCGTGATTACCTGTGATGGGGGCACCTCCATCATCAGGTGGTGGGTCCCACCGAATGGTCACGACGTTGGGCTGGCTGTTCGGAGAGCCTGGGACGAGGTGCGGTTTCCCGGGTGGCCACGGTGGAACTGAAACCGTATGACGTCACATAGGCTATGCTCATGTTGTAAAGGAGAAAGCAACTCGCAGAAACAGTAATATTCCTTCGCATTGTTCTGGTTTCGAAAAACAGACAAACGTTACACGAAGATTACTGTCTTTTGGGACACTGACCATGATTTAGAAGTCTTTACTGCCTCCATCATGAGGGTGATGGAAAGGTCGATGACGTTTATAAGTGCATCTGTTTGTCCATCAGCACAATTCAACTACAAAAATAACTACTGGACGATTTTTTGTGATTTAGTATTGGAGGTGTGCAAGGGACTATCTAAACTTGATCGAACGAATTTTGTACTTTGTCTGTGTGGTTCTGATGCTAATAATACTTGACATTAAGATCAAATGACACGATGGCACATTTTTAAAAAGCGACTCTTCCTACAAAAACAGAAATATGAAGGGAAAAAATGTTTGAGAAGTGCCTACATTTCATAAAATGTGACGTAAAATAGTGATTTTGTGCAGTTTAGTATCTGCGGTGTAAATCTATTTAAAATTATATATTTATATCAGCAGTAAATAAACATTAAAGGCAATAATGCCAAATTGCGAAGAACTCGTTTGTTCAGAATTGCTATAATTAATATCGTAGGATGCTTAAATCTATAGAGGCCTAGCTTTATGGATCCAGTAAGGTCTTGATTTATGTTAGACGTCTGCTAGTCTCGACAGGTCTGAGTTTAAACATAGAATGTATCAACACCTTCCTTCGTAAATTCCTCTCATCATCTCGGACATTCAAGTGATCGTTTCCCACAGGGGTTCTTAGAAAGACCTATATGCATGTTCTACCATATACATGTCCAACTAATTGTAACCTACTTAAACTGGCAACATAGTTAACCTGTGTAACTCCTGCGTTTTTCGTTACGTTACATTCTATTTCCCAATTACGTAATCACTTTTAGCTCCAAGTACTTTTCCAAACAGTTGTACTTCACGTTCTTACCACTAAGGACAGAGTCTATGTTTCACACCGATTGTCTATAAAATCACTGACAAAATTACGGCTTTACATTGATATATCTGATATTTCGTAAAGCAGACAGAATGATAAGTGGAAAATTATAAGCAGTCAGTTTTCATTCATAACAAAGCTTGTAATGCCTGTTGGCAAATAGCACTGTTCCTTTGAGTTGGCCAAAAATTTATACAGGTTACAGCAGCGTTACGAATAACGGAAAGCCTGACGTCACCAATGTACCTATATTTGTAACCTAACGTAATATTTATGTTGCCTAACATTGAATTGCTTCAAAGATAAGACAAAAAAAGAACTAAAACAGTATGTCTCACACTCATATGTGTGGTGCTCGCGTGTTCCATATTCTGTACTTTTATAAGATCCTTTATCTAGCATTTTATATATTATTTACCATTATGAACAATGTCTACAAATAAAGGTCTCGATTACACCTGTACTTTGTATCGCAACAAACGTTTATGTTCTAAGAATTGTCTGGGGAATCTGATAAAAGTCTGCTTGGACTTCTTATAAATCAGGTGCTATGGTCCTCGGAAACTTATCAACCGAAAATTATCCCGAAATATTTAAATCAGCCCCTCGGCATAAAACATTTTATCGGAATTAGGTAAGTGGTCTGGAAGCTGACAAACATGCCACCTCAACGTGGCAAACTTGTATGATCCTAGTTTTAAGTAGGTTACGTATCAAAAGTTTTTAGGGCTTCAAATTATGAACCGGAATAAGACAGGAAAACCACTACATCCCATTTTTAATTTTTTTCTGAGTGGTATGACAGTCCTCGATATATGTACAATTCAGCGTCCAGCTAAGTACACTAAATTCCGAACTACGTTCCACTGTCTCAACGTGGAGTATTTAGTAACGCTACGGGTATTATGCAAACGGATTGGTTGTCAGGTTCATGTAAGCAGTTAGAGATTATCATTAAAACCCGCGTGTCTCTGAGCAAGTAAACTGCTTTACTTATCTGCAAACGCGCTGTTCGTAGAAATGTAACTTTTCAAGTTAATCTTGGTATTGGCTAAGTAACAGCGGTCGTGATAGTGGTTGGAGAAGTTCTGCCTCGTGTTGCTAGGGCTACAGTAGATGCCAAAGCGCCGTTTATTTCGGGACCTGCTCTGTGTAACAGAACGAGCTTCTGCCTTCGTCCAGACGCCTAGCATCTCCCCAGTGTTCAGCAAAGCGAGACTTCCTCAATATGGCTGAAATTTCTATTAATTACGGATAGATCTGTTGCGGAATTTAACAAATGTGATAAGGGACAAAGACCAGTACCCCACAATTTTAAATTATTTATTTGATCACGTGATTAGTTAATTACTCATTTATTTCTCTTTCAATTTTTATAGTTACATGGCGTCAATGGCGTTACTTTATATTAAAAACAATTTTAAAGTTCACAGTAGTATCTATAATAACTAACATATTTTAAACATCATGCATTTTTAAAGCGAGAATAACTTATTACAGACTTCAGCATTCCCACGCGTCTGCTTATTCGCCTAGTAACTGAACGATGTATCATGCTAACGAAGCCACTTATGATGACACTTAAAGCCACATCTCCTCACGCCGTTACAGCACGACGCGCCTACTAACGCCTTGTCACGCTTTCTACATTTTCGTCACGTTTCGACAGATGTCGCCAAATCCAGTTACACCGTTACAGTAGATCATGCCTAGTCACGCTTGGTCACACTTTTCAAATCTTCATCATATCTTAATACTTATGGTGACCTCACGTTACCCCGTCTTAGCACGTCACACCTAGTAACTCTTTGTCACGCTTGGACACGCGTGGTCAGTAAATCACGTTACGGCACGCTTACGTTATGTTACGCACGACTCGGTTAATTTTAGCTGCCTTGCAACACTTTATATGAAGTTATGAAAGGTTAGTTTGGGATAGGTTGGGGATAGTTTATGTTGGGTTAGTTTGGATTGGGTTAAGTTAGGTTAGGTTAGGTTTAGTTGGGACAGGGTAGGATAAGTTAGGTAACGTTTTGAAAATTTTTGTGACGTTTTGACACTTGCGGCCACAATTCGTCGCACTCTTACCATGCGTCACGCTTAGTCACGCTTGGTCACGCTTAGACACTTTTCAAAACTTCGTCGTGTTTTAACACTTATGGTGACATCTCGGCACATCTTTTTAGCAGGTCATGCCTAGTCACGCTTTGTCACGCATTGTCACGCTCGTTCACGTTTGGGCACACTTTGTAGATCTTCGTCACGTTTCGACACATATGGTGATCTCTTGTCACGAGGTTAAAGTTGGTCACGCCTGGACACGCTTTGTCAGGCTTGGACACGCGTGGTGAGTAAGTCACGTTTCGGCACGCTTACGTCATGTTCCTTACGGCTCGGTTAATTTTTGGTACATTGCACTACGTTAGATGAAGTTACGACAGTTTAGGTTAGGATAGGTTGGGTTAGGTTGGATTGGGTTAGGTTGGGGTATGTTTGGTTAGTTTAGGTTAGGTTTAGTTAGGTTAGGTTAATTTGTTAGATTAGGTAACGTTTTGAAAATATTCGTCACGTTTCGGCACTTATGGCCACATCTCGTCACGCTGTTATAGTACGTCACGCTTAGTCAAACTTTTAAAATCCTGGTGTTTTAACACTTAAGGTGTCCTCTTGTCACGCTTTGAAAGGAGGTCACGCCTAGTTACGCATTGTCACTTATTTATATAATATATATAATTGAACATAATGGAATGAACAGCAGCAGCGGTAGCGATGAATCAGGTGATGTCAGAAAGCGATGGTCTGTGAGGAGTGGAAGAACTGGAAGAGGACCGAAGAGTTGTGAATAAGATAAAATTATCTAAAACTTTCAGCAGTGTTAATTTTCTAGTGATGTGTAGTGTAGTAAAATCGACTTTTCTGTGTTACATACCGTGGTGATATTTTATTTGGAATGTACTGTACGTGGCCTGCTGCCATCCCTTCGAGTGAACTTCTGGTAATTGACTCGCTCTGAGGTTCCAATTTACAAAGTTCAGGGGCTAACAATGCTGGAACGCAGTATAACTACCTAAATACAAAGTGGCCGACCGTGAAAACCTCAAATTTCAGAAACCATGACGCTGAACATTTCAAAGATGTAATTCTTAAGGCTTGACGGAAAGGTTAAAAGTTACCGGAGTGCAAATTTTACAGAACTTCAAAAATGAAGCACACAGGCAAAATTTCCCAACCCTACTTTAATTTATAAATTTTATTATGTTATTGCTAAAACGCTTAAAGCTATCAGGAGGCACAGGCGGATAGTTTATTCATATAGGCCTTACTACATTCACATAAATGTTACGAATTCAAGCAATCATAAATATTAATGTCGTTGATGCTTTAATATGGCTACACTGTGGGCAATTTGGTTATCTCGATTGTACAAAATACGCAGCTATTTTGACGGAGCATGTACTAACTCAAACCTCGACACCTGCGGGTAAAAGAGAATAAAGATTAAGTAAAGTAAAGTAAAGTATGTACTAACTCAGTACTTTCGAGCATGTGTAATAGGTCTGAATGGCAGATTTTCACGTTAGAACAATTTCACAAGATGCTATTGAACTGGCGTATTATCGAAACATTTTAGTTGCCCGTTCAGGAAATGTCAATACAGGAACTAAAATACATGTTGAGTATTTAGTTCCCCATAAACACGATGTTACAAAAGACTTGGTTATGGGCTAAATGAGCAGACGATAATTCTAAATTGCTACTTTATTCTAAGTTTTGTCGTGAACTGATTTCAGGCGAGTCGTTGCGTTTATGCTAGGCCGGCTTTACCTCCGGAAAATGTACTCCCGACAAGGAGGATGGACGCCATCACCTGTGACGTTGACATTCATTAACGTTGGTATGAGCGATATGCAATCGGAAGGTCCCCAAATAACAAACCTCTTCGTCCCGAAGCCGTTGTCTTGGTGGTCAATATAAGCTTGAAGCGAGAAATACGAAATTCACCTCCGGAAATGCTACTTGAATCTGCAAATAAATTTTACCTGCAGTGTTTCCCTCTCCATCACATAACCTAATTTCCTCTCTCCATGGCAATTAGTGATACTACATCTCTAACGTACATGCTAGGCGGTGCAGTCTATGCGATTCACGCAGGTGTCATCTTGTTTTCGACTTTAACGTTAGCATATACATACGACGAAAAACGAGTATGTAAGGCCTTTATAAACACACATGAAATCCTAAGGATTAAAACGTATAAAAATTTACTTCCGTTTGCTGTCTTTTGTTTAAAAATTGGTCACTCACGTCTAAGGATCGATAATGCTCAAAAAAGCAACCCGTTTGACACTCCTACCTAGCGCACAGCAATGCATTGCACCAATAATTCTTTTTAATTTTGATGAATACACCTCATTTGCCTCTTACAAAATATAATTTCTTCAGATAACTGAAGTAGGCCAAATACAGCATTAATCATTGCGGTATTACAAAACTGGCTTCGGATTCTTCTTACTGTTACATTCACAGAACTTTCTCTTCGCGACTTTCTCTGCCTTCCCACTAGAAGAGGGAGTTTTAATCACAAGCGTATGTTCACACCTACTGAAACATGGATAACTGATACTGAAACTGCATTATAAAACAAAACTTCTGAATCTACGCCAACACTGGTACATATTTGGATAATACAGTATTTTATTCCAAACCGATTTGGCAGTACTGGGAGCCACCTCAAATAACCGACAGTCCTGTGATTTGTCTACGTGCTTCATTCGGTCTTTCAGCTGTCTAAATAATAATAATAATAATAATTTGTCGTTTCGAGGTCGTCATTTTTACTGTTTACTGCAGTGAAACTGGAGTCTGTCTTCGTTATTGATGACGCATATCCCAATCTTTCTTTATAATGCCTATTTATAACGTGGCAATGAAATAAAGCAGGACTCAGTTTCAAAAGTGCTAGTCAAAATTACAGCCGTGGTCTAGGCAACACGGAGTTTTCCTCTGGGGGCTTCCCCGATTTCTCCGTGGCATCCCAACAATTACACACACAGACGAAGGCAATGGCAAACCACTTCTGGATCATCTGCCAAGAACGTATATGAACAGGTCCCAGTCCGAGAAAAGGATGGAAGGATCCTGTTCATATGGACCTGTCGTCAGACAGAACACTAAAATAAATAATAAATAGGCCTATTAACAATACTCTACGTTTGCTAATTCTCTCGTTCTATAAGTTTATTTCTAGCTCTATTTTTGCACATTTAAGTCGGGTTCGGAAACTACTAATTAACTTGAAAATACACGGATGATTGCACAGATGTTTCAGTGAAATATTTTTACCTTACTCACATTGCTAATCGAGGATAATAAAAAACGTAAAGAAACAGAGTGTATATAGATTGGATTAAACTGCATCATGTTAGGGTTCAATGGCTGTCTTTTAAGAACACAGTAGTGAACCCTCGAGTCCCACAAAATAAAATTTCTTGACCATCTGAGGAAGTACCAACTTGTCTAGGAGGACGCTGCTCTACGTAATTGGTTTGTTGGTCTATATTACTGTTAGCACTACCTACGCTCAATAAAAGTAGATATTGACTTTAAAGGATTTGTACTTTTGTTCCTTCGGGGCAAAATATTACGTTGCAGCAGACTGAAAAATCTCACATCCCTCCGAAACCGAATCATAGTTTATAAACGTCGTAATGGAAGCGAGAAAGAGCAGAAAAGAATTTCCATCGCTTCATCCTGTAAGCGGAACTAATAGGCAATTGAGTGAACTATTTCTTCACTTTACGAACGTTGTGCCTCATATACACACGCACTGCCTTGGTATTTTGTACGTAGCGGTAGCACGCAAAGAACGCTACTCACCTGCCTGCTCCCAGTGCACATATTTCTTATTTCGCCTGTTCTTCTGTTGTGGCCCCTTGGTCGGGGTGTTGCCCATGACGGCGGTCGTCTCCCGTCTCCTACATGCCTGTCCGATATCCCACCAACACAGATTTAGCCGCTCTCAGCTGCTCTAGGCACAGTTTCTCGAGGCAGAGAGCGTAAGCCACTAGCGATGCTCTGACCACAGCGCTCCGTCGACGTACCTCAGCTAGCTTCCTTGTAGACTCTGTATTTACTACCAAAGCAATTTGGCATTCATGATACTGGGGCAATGAATGAAAATACGTAGGAAAGGAAAACTTCACCACCACAGTATTCACGTGGCACAAACGGGTCTTAAACTTAGGATCCACTAAGTCAGAAGCCTGTGTGCTAGACACTGACCCAAGTGCATGGCTGAAGAAGTTAATTCTCTTCTCAAGCATCTATTATTCCCATTTCTTCTGTCCCACAATTAAAACGCGTTAAGAGTTCTATCACTCTAGCAGTCACCCCAAGAAAGATACGATGCGTAACTCTTATCTGATGAATTGCATTTATAAGTAAAATTTGGAAATGTGTGACGACTAATATTCATTTCAACAACAATTATATTTAGTGAAAATCTGTTATGAAACGATTTGAACCCAATTTCGCCAAATTCAGCAGAATATGTTCTGGCAGAATACTGAATTTCCTCAGTATTAGAATTAATGGTAAAATTGCAGTGACTCAGTCTAGTAACTAGATCAATTTTACATAGTGGATCTACGATCCTCCTTTCACATACAGGCACAGGACTGGCAATAGCAGAATATCTATTTTGTATAATAGGAAAATAAAGCAAACAGAACTGACACATGAACTACAATACCCAAATAATGTAACATGGAGAAGTATTTACATAGTCAACCAAACGCGAGAATAAATTAAAGTGCTATCAGGCCCATTCTGACCTATGCATAAGAAACAATCGCAAATAACATATTAACCAAAAAAAAAAAAACAATCGCAAATAACATATTAACCAAACAAACAACGGAAACAACCGAAATGAGTATGCAGCAGGTCTTAGTTATCCGGCTTAAACGAGACCGAAGGATGGTCGGATAATTGAAAATGTCGGAAAAAACGGGAGACTAATTAAAAAAAGACGAGGGTAACACGGCTGACACCATATTCTTTTTCAATTTTTTGTTTCATTGTTTCGTCTTTATCTAGTCTTTGTTTTTGTTACACGGAAACAACCACTTTCTATTTTGACTTGTCACGTAATTAAAAAAATCACTACTTTGTGAGAAATTAGTAGCTTCTATCAAAAACTAAAGCACAACTGCACTTGTGTAATCGAAGCCAGTACCGAATGCACACCAAGCTCATAAAATGTAGGCGGTGCGTGGTGAGGTAGTGATTTATTCCGCTGTATGCTGAGCTAAATGTTGTTAAATGGAGTATTCCGACACGGCACATCGGATAATACGGAATGCTGGATAATCAGGACTCTACTGTATGAAGGAAGACAGGAAGTATTTTTGGTTGGAAGAGACATCAAGCATCAGTGCTCTGTCCAAGTCACAAAGAAAAAAAAAAAGAACAAATATTGTAGAGAGTACAGACAGGCGCACTCCAGAAAACGCCGATGTCCTGACGAAGAGAAATATATCACACGTAGATTCATAGATGTCACTACACATGCCGTAAATTTTCTGTATGGGAAATGCCAAGAGATGGCATGTCCTCTCTAATAACCGTGAAATGCAAACAGCTGATTTAATTCAGTGCTGCAAATAGGAAGCAAGAATTGTAAACTGTTACAGTCATTACATATTTATAAATAAAATATAGATAAATTTGGGAGTACAACTGAAATATATTAAAATGCAGGCTACAATACGATGACATTCGAATTCTAAGAAACTTTAAATTCATGCTATTTCATGGGCAGGCTACATTGGCTACACTGAGTGTGACACTAGGTTCTCACCGCCAACTTCTTGCCAAAGGAGTTGGTGTTTTGTTTCTCCATATAGTGCTTTCAGGACGAAAATTTTTGCTTGTTAGAAAATAACTGTTTATTTCGTTGTGGCACTGGACTAGTGAATATAGTCGCGTATGCCTCAGCAATAGTGTAACTGCTTACTGTAAACTTCTTTACAATGATAAAATTGTTTTCCTTGAAGCAACAGAAAAAAGATGGTGAATCAGCTCCAAAAACTGGAAACCAGAAGAAAGCTTCAGCAGCCCAGTTACGAATTACGAAAGGTGGGTGGATTCATTCCAGTAGCAGTCTAAAATTAAGTCCAGCGAAGTTGTATGTATTATACAATCTTGGAAACCTCAGTGCTGCAAAATATTTATCGTTGCCGTAAAGTGGGTTTTATGTCATCACCTAAATTAAAGTGTTCAATTTCAGATATAAATGAACTTAATTTACCCAAGACATGTAATACGGAGTTTCCAGATCCAGATGATTTGTTGACATTCAAGCTTATTATATGCCCAGACGAGGTAAGTTACAAAACATATTGTTAAAACATATCATTGCTAATTGATTTTGTACAGAGAATTTGTAGTTATGTAAAGGCTTTGACATGAATGTTCTCGGCTTGTGAATGATATTCTATGGATGGATATTCCTGAGCAGCAAGTCTTTCACGTAGTTACACAGTTAGTGACAGGACATCATTTAAAAACATAAAATGTATTTCATACTCATAAAATGATGGAAAAGGGGGAACATGTGAATAATAACATATTTTGCCTATGCAAATGACATAGCAACAAACTAAGAAAGAATATAAGTACCAGTTGAAAAATAAAACGTATCTCTTGCCACCAGGACAGTATTATGACGTGTTGCCGTGAGAGCAGCACAACAATGTCAATAAACAGTTTAGTTGTCTGTTTATTGACATGTGTGTGTACAGGGAAAAGAGACTCGGATACTGTTGTTGTGGCAGAGAGTTGACTGTATGTGCAGACCTCTGTAACTGATTTAATTTGGCTTGAATAAATCAGGGTTGACAATCAAGGTCGCAATGCCGTCCCACATTACAGTATATTGATTTATTTATAAACTTGAGAAAGACTGGCCTGCAAGTGAATAAGTAAAAATCATGATCCTTGCTCCTGATACATCAATGGAGGAAAAAAAATACATCAGTGAAAGCAATGACAGCCCATTTTTCGAGTTCCCTACCAAAGGTTAAAGACAAATCATGCTGATTGCGGGTCACATTATTTCACAGATCAGTTTGAAAACAAGTGACTGAAAAAATAAATGATTGGTTTGAAAATACTGAGTGAATGACCTTTCCAGTACATGATTATAGACCCAATAAGGAAGACGAAAATGACTTAGAAGTGTACAGGTGATGCAAGTTACATATAATTTGCAATTAAAAGTGTCTCACCACCATTACATTACTTGGGACATTGGGATTATCATAGCAGCCTGGAAAATATTAAACAATACAGGAAAAATCTAATATTACACATAACTTACAATAAGAAGTTAGGGCTTATCTTTTGCTTAGGTCCAGTACACAGATTGTTAATGCTTCTTCAACTGCTGAATATAATCAATATGTAGTTCCTATTCAGATTATACATTTTAATACTCATAGCTTTGGCAGTCCTGTGAAATGTTTTGTAACATTGCACTGGGATATATTTTAGCAGAATTTATTTAATATTACTGTAATGAGTGACAGAGTAACCTCTCTATTACATATATGGATGTTACGGATAAACTCAAAAGTTTGCTAATATTAAGATCATCCAGCAAGCTGGTGTCAGCATCAGCCAAAATAACAGGTAATGTTCAAAACAAGATGGCAGACATGTGAGTCTGATATCCACATAATCTTAACATAAGCCTTACCAGTGTGGGTGTTGTCCAACATGAATATTTCATTGATATAATTAATGGTAACCCCATGAATAAATAAATCCAGTTTGTTTCATGAAGTGTAATAACACCAACATAATTGCCCCACTGCTTTTGCTGTTAGGCAAGGCTATATTAAGTATGTGCACTTTGAATAACTTTAGAATCATGACTTTCAGCACATGCATAGAGGAAATAATGTTACATGGTCGACTTCATCTATGTCCTACTGGCTACTATCAACATAAAACAGCTAAATAATGAGTTCCCTATGTCTGTTGTTTTCATGGACATAGTCCAAACAATCTGGCCATTGTCAGCATCATCCAGCAAGACCTCAACATTAGCCAGACTTTGGAGTTTAACCATAACATGGCTATACCAGTGTCTAGTGCAGCCAAAATAATGTACCTGTAAGGCAGAACTGAATATCTCAGCACCTGACTGGTAACATATTCAAACTCCTGAACACATATATTCAGGAATATACGTATGTTTTATTTTATTAGTTTTTTTAAATAAAGATTACCACAGTTAGAATTGTAAATGTTTCTCCACAAAGAATAAACTATCATTAAAATTATTTTTTGCTTGCATGGTAAAGTTGAGGTGATAAGATTATATTTTTACATGCTTGAAACTTTAAAATATATTTTTCAGAATATGTTAATCCGCAACAAAACTTTAAGGGCTGTGTAAGTACTTCATTGCATTATTGATAAAATTCTTTAATTTCAGGGCTTTTACAGAGGAGGACGTTTCATTTTTAGCTTCAAAGTTGGGCCAAATTATCCACATGAACCACCGAAAGTAAAATGTGAAACTCCAGTGTACCATCCAAACATTGACCTGGAAGGCAATGTTTGTCTGAACATCTTGAGAGAAGACTGGAAACCAGTACTCACAATCAACTCTATAGTTTATGGATTGCAATATTTATTTCTGGTAAGGTAGTATAGTGGATAAATCAATATTATGAACAAGATTTACACTTAAAAATAACTGGTAGATGTTTTAAATACTAACTTGTGAAATTCTGTTTTAAAATATTTGTGGTATCATTTTGTTCTCTGCATACCAAGTTTCTGGCAACTAAGTGGCAGAAAATTCTAGTTTCTATAGTACATGCATGTGCCTAGCTTTATTAGAAATAAGCTGTGTTCTCAGAATAATCCAATGTGTACTTGGCACATTCTAAAGACTGTATTTCTTTTGTCTCTCTCCTCTTGAGTTCAGAATAATCACTAATACCAGCTAAAGGACACACTAGCTTCGAGATCTTTCAGTAAGAACGACACACACTGTTTCTGTTCATATTAATTTGCACCAGACTTTTCTGCATGTGCAGGGTGGAGAGATCTGGGAAGGGCAATGGGCAAAATATTTTACAGATGTCAACGTTCAATAGAATCTTTGTATTGTATTATCTGAATTTCATTGTTTTTTGCAGCATTGTACTTTAACTAAAAGAGAAGGAAAGGTGCTTTGAACTTGTCACAACTTGCAATTTGTGTACAGATAAGTTGCAGATCAAAGTTTAATCAGTGCTTAAACATTTTTGTTACATTTTATGAAAGGATGGTCAGTTATGGTCATCAGGTATGCTAAAGACTGATAACTATGGGACATTGAGGATATAGGGCCATTATGTGGTAACAGGATGACATAGAACAATTACAAGGTGGACGTTCCAAGAGAAAAATATTCCACTAAAAAGGGACTGAAAAAAGTTAAACTTGTGAAGGAGGGATTATGCATAAGAATTTATCTTTGAAAGTAATACATTTTTCTCAAAAATTTCCAATGTAAATGATCAGTGTGACTTTGACATATACGTATATAGCACATAACAGTAGTCTGAACAGTAAGCATACGATTGGCTACACTGAATGAGAGTAAGATAGGGTAGTGCAATTATTGGATTTCTGGCATGGGATGATCCATTATCCTGGCTAGTAGGTATTGGGGGATAAAGGATATAGGTGCCCCTGCTTTTGTAAAAATTGCTAAATTCTGAAATTTTTAGAGCTTTACCTACATTGTGTTTGGATAGAGTACATGCAGTGATATTAAAAAGTCTGGTAATTATGCACACAATCCAGAAAATGTAGGGGAAAAGAATACATCTCATTCCACATTACACTTTCCATTTCATATAAACACCAAAATTATTTGTTGTTGACAGAATTATAACTTAATACTTTGTGTGCTACAACTTATATTGTAATAATGCTACTAGCACACAAATTTAAATTTAGTAAGTGAAAATTGCTTTGTTCCCCTAGAAAACAGCATATTAACAAAAGCTGGACTCTTTATTAATTTTCTGTGATCATTATTTAAAGACACTAACTTTGAGTGATGCCAATGTGCAAGAAAATCCATGATTTTTTCAATCACGTTGTTGTAGATCCAGTTTATTAAGAACATACCTACTTTGAATAAGATTTTAGGTGCCGTTCACCATTTATGAGTCCCAATACTGATCACTGCCTCCAAAAGTGTATTTAATAACATTAAAAGATGGAGCATGACTCATTACATTATACTAGAGCTATTATATCAATATTATGTTGCTCTGCCCCTATCTTCATGCAACTGCTTGTAATAGTGACAACTTTCTTTATTCTGTTACTAGTGGTGATGGGATTGAACCCTGGAACTTTAGTATAGTAGGCTAGTACACTAACTACTAGATCAGGACCAACTCCAAAAATGTCATGTATTTCAAACATGCCGGAGACAATGGACAGCTTTCATAACATAACTGTCACAGACTTTAGGAAATCAATATAGCCATTGATACGATTTAAACAACTTAATATCGTAAATAGTATTTACAGTCCTTCTATATTTTAATTCAATGGCATACTTAAGTGGGGGACAGAAAGAAGATACTGCTCTGGTAGCTAGTATCTTCTTTCAGTGCACATTTTATATATCAAGTTTCCAGACATTTCAGACAAGGTCAGTAAGTAGTATACTTTGAGTATGTAATTTCATTTCTCTTATTGTAAGGACAGATTATATTAAGTCATTGGCAAATGACTTTCACAATGTAAGGACACATACAGTTTACTCCACAGAAACTCATATTAGGGGTTCTTGAATATTAAATTTTCTTTTTGCGATTTATAAATTATCAGTGGAAATAAAATTAGTAATTACATATTTACATTCAAAACCAATATCATTTCTGAATGAGAAAATAATTTTTACATCTTTGCAAGGTTCAACATATTGATTTGTAAGTAACTTTATGAACAAATGAAGTGTGATATTTTATTGCCATTCATTTTTATCCTGATTCATATGGTGTATAGTTCTTTGTTTTGGTATGACAAACATATCAACATGCATTTCATAAACATGGAGCTCTTTCAGGAAACATCTTGGGTCAGAATGAAATGACTTATCATATTATTTGCATCAGCTTGATGATGACTGTAACTGTAGATGCCCTGTGTTCCATAAAACTCTTCTTGGAGTATGCAATTCTTGAGTGGCAAGAACTGGAAGATGTGTCAGACACTTCTGGCTAGTGAAATGTTGAACAAATGCAGCAAACTTTGAACATTAAATTCAGTAAAAAAATATGTAACAAATCCTCATATTAGAGTGAAACATAATAACACAATTAACATGTATGAATGTTGCATATATTATATTTTATTAAACTAGTCTATATCAGTATAGTGATAACAACTTGTTCAGCAATGCACACGGTACGGTTATGTATTTTACCATTTTTTTATAGCTTGCTATTTACTGAGCACATTTGTTTCTTTCTTATAGAACATTTTATGTAAAAATATACTTCATACAGAATTCAGAGATTTCACAAATGGTATAGGATATTTTGACAAAAGAGCATCTGAAAACAAAATGTAAATGTATAATTAATGAGCATCAGTTGATTGAGCAAATTAAAAAAAAACACTCTGAAGGTGTGTGTGTCCAAATTATATAGTGACAGTCACAGCCAACTCCTTTCAATGGAGTATTCTAGGATTCACTGTACCATTAAAATATTGTATTTTGAAAGTATTTTCTGTTACACCAAAAGCAAAGCCCACTTTACCCTGTTTATTATGGTTATCATGTAAATTTAATATTTCAGTTGCTGCCACTCCTCCATCCCCAAGATTTTTATCAGACTACTGCTAAAAAGGACTTTACATAACACTTATACTGTTAGATGAACAAATTAATGTCATAATGTTTTAAATTCTGATGTTAAATTGACTGCATAGGGTAGACAAAGCTGTCAGTTTGTATCTATGCATTTATATTTTTAAGAGAAATTAATTAAAATGCTTATACAGGGAAGGAAGCAGATGCTAGTTCATATTTTGCTGCTGTACACATTATTCAGTCCCAAGTATGAATCAATCAGGCAGTTAGTTGCTAATTATTATCAAGCCTTAATGAAATTTAATAATAATTCATATTGTATAAAATGATAAATTGAAATTATATTCACTTTATTTCCTCAAAACTGAATCCATTTCTCTTTCATAATTACATAAGTGCTTTCACTGCTACCAAATTCAAAAGTGATTAGTATAAAACAGCATTCCTGGATTACATATAACACTCTGTGATTCGTATAAATGTAATGATTGTTTATACTTTGCTCGTTACTGTGTACATAATCTTTTAGGACATTTGTTATATTCTTGTTTTTTGGTAAGTCATCGAAGTTGATTACTTTTTCCAGACAGTCTGTTTAATGGGAAAAAATTTCACTAATGAAAGGGTTAAGACGCATATACATTAGAATTCAGAACCAGTTCAGGAAAGACATTACTTAAGTTAAAAACAATGTAGCACGCATAAAGGAAAGGTAAATTATACAGTTCTTTGTTTTCACATAGGAGCCGAATCCCGAGGATCCACTGAACAAGGAAGCTGCAGAAGTGCTTCAGAACAACAGGCGCCTTTTTGAACAAAATGTTCAGAAAGCAATGAGGGGTGGCTATGTTGGTTCAGTGTACTTTGAAAGGTGTTTAAAGTGATAGGTATTACACAGAAAATGAACTATTTCAAGACAGTTGATGGCTGACAAGATTCTACCCGAGGAAATTGCAACTTATTTCTTAGAGGTTGAAGGGAGCCTGTTTCAGCCATTGCAGGATGATACATGTGAGCAGTATTGGATTTGTGCATATAATTGCTTTACACATAATATCTGAACCATAAACACTAGGAAATGTCATCTTCTAAGTTAAGACCGACAGAACTGTTGTGCATACTTTTAATTCACTTACATAAACTGCAATGAAGAAAGCCTTTTTAAGTGTGTAAGCAGTTTGCACACACAAATGCTGCATCCCTATTGAATGAATTTTAATTATGTTTATGAAAATTATGGTCTTTGTGTTTGAACAATTTTTGTTTAATATTTGTGTGGTTTCTTGGTCTGTAGTTTCCCCAGGAGAATGAATGGTTGTTTCAGTAGGATTTCATTCTGTTGGAATAAAGTTAAGATTTTGTTATCAAAAGAATTTTCAATCTGCTGTTTTAGCTTCAAACTGTCAAAATTCAGTGAGCCTGTTACCAAAGCTAATGCATTTCTTTGGCTACTAATTAGTACATTGTAGGCTGTTTCATAAATTTATTCTGCCAAATAAATTGATAGTGATAAAAGTTTGACAGGGTGTTTAGTTTCACTTTGTTTATTATGTTCAGATAAGTAAAAGCTCAGTCCAGATCCATGATATCCTTGTCAGAATCCTGCCATTTACAATGTTTTGTTTACAGCTATTCAAGTGTCAAGACCTCATGACTAATAATGGATGTTCACCATGTTTTGGCATTTAAACAGCACACATATAAAGCCAGTTGGATAAAAGTTACTTTATACAGTTCAGAAAATAGATATTTAAGCATAATTATCACTCCAATGCATGTGGTTTTCACCCTCTTTCAAATTTATAATATTAAGCAAGACATATTGAATATCAGAAACATCTAAGAAGTGCCAATTATATAATTCTGACAAAGCGTTCAATGCAGCTATGATATGATACAACTTATGTAAAAAGGGGGGGGGGGGTCCTTAAAAGAGTCAAGCTAGTATAGGCTTGAAGTAGAAAACCTTACAGAACTAAATTTTGAAGCACCATACACCAGTGATCTACCATAAATATTTTCTTATTAAACAATCTATGTTTAAATATAACAGGAATAACTCCATGTACGGTGGAGATGTAATATTCCTAGTGGTGTGTTTGCAAGTACTCCTACTTTCCGACCTACAGTTTCACTTTGAAACTGTATTTTAGTATAAGGTCCAGAATTCTAATTTTATACAGTGGTGTCTCATCCAAGGCACATTCCTTTGATTCTAAAACAGGCCTTCAACATATTTATTTAAGCATGTCAGCAACCATGTTGAGTACCTGAATCACACCATGTTTGTACACTTTTATCATATTGGGCTCTGATATTGGTGGAAACAACCTCAAGCCTAATTCCTTTGTCACAGACTAAAACTACTTATGAAGCATTTTCAGATATAGGAACCCAAACTGTAACCTGCATTTAACCCCAATTCATCCTTTAGCCTCTACATTTATATTGGTTCAGGCTTAGTTCCACAATAAATATGACTGAATAAATAATACAAATTTAGGTACTAGGATCTCAAAGTTAATAGTACCTACTTAATTTACAATCTGTGTTGAATGATGTAAGTGGGAAATCAATGGCAAAAATGACATGCTGGGTGGCAATTGAGTATTAAAAATTGCAGGGAGCCAATACTTTGTTTTGTTACAAGTAGTCAGTTTCAAAGAGAAAAATAATATAAAGCCATTAAACTCCATGCATAAACATTCATAAGTGGACAATAATTAGACACACTGGAAAATGTTACAATATCCTGATACATTCAGTATTATACATTCTTCTAAAATGTATTTTCAATTTATGAAACTTCACTTGTTTGAGACTTCTGTTATATTTGCACTTCAGAAGTAACATGAATGTATACTTTTACTGTAGTATTAAATTTTGCACAATGTGAATGTATTTTTACATACTTTTAATTTAATTACAGTATGTTCAATGGACAAAAATTTCACTAGGATCTATGCACATGTAACACATTTCCCTCTTGCATGACAGTAAAAAAAGTGCTGCAAATTGTCACAGATGTCCAATATATAAACTGTCACTATCATCAGAAGATACTCTATCGTCCCAAGGGGGTTCCACCAAAATTAAAAGAAGCAGGCACCGTCTGTTGATTGAATACATAACCTGAAATAGAAAAATAATACCAAGTACACGGTTAAACTTCCAGTCATTATTTACAAAAGGCTTGCAAGTCCCTCAAGAAACAATTTATGCATTAAGGCATGAATATTCCACAATTGAATACATGATACCAAGAGAAGTGTACATAGTTATATGGAGGGTGTTGATGCATTCAATTCACAATTTTAAAAACTTCCAAAGTCATAGGGAAACCCATATCTATTATACAGAATCTACCATTTAAAACACGACCCAATAACAATTATGCACTGCTACTGTACTGATACATAACAGGGAGTTCTTTATTGAATCATTGCACCATGTGTGTGGCTTTGACATCATCACCCAAACAAAATCTATGGCCCTTTAGCAGCGTCATGACTAAACACGTGGAAGTCACAATGACAGGTGCAGGTGTTTGGAACAGTGTAAGATATGGGTATAGGCAATGCCACACTTGTCATTTTGTGCAGATGTGAGAAATGATCTCTTTGAAGGGACAACATATACAGTGAAACCTCGATGCATCGTTTTTGGCGGGGGTGGGAAAATAAAACGATGAATACGGGAAAACGATAGATGCGGGAAAGCATTACAAATTTAAAAAAAAACAATGTTTCTCTTTCAAAGTTACTTCTTTTTACCAAAAAAGTCTTTAATGGACAACTGGTTTGTCGAAACTTTACGTTTTAGACCAAACAGAGCACTTTCCACGTTCAAAATGTTTTCCTCGTCACGTTCACTAATATTATGCGCATAAAAGAACGACTTCACTTTCGCCAATGCAGCGTGCGCTTCGGCAAACCTCGGCAAAGCTTCGGGCTCGCATTCGTCGTCTTCCACTTCCTCACCTCTCCCACCCCCTTCGCGAATAACAGGAAGAATGGAAATACTATTACTGCCGAACTCAACGAAACGTAGCTGTAGAAGACCCAGAACCGCTGGAAACGAGATGAACCAGAAGAATGAAAAGTGCCGCCAGTCTTTCCTTTGTACTTATAATAAAAGCATTTGTGAAGAACTTCACACTGCACATGCCATCTGGCATCGCTGGAACGAAATATGAATGCACCCTAATTAAACTCGTGAAATTTCTGACAATTTCCACCTATCACCCCTGTACCCCTGACCCTTCATTCCAAAGACTGTGCTGGTTGGGCGACATAACAGGTTACCACTACTGTGTATTCCAAAAACATTGTGCGTCTTTCGGTATTAATTTATCTCAAAACCCAGCATTTTAAATTCTCAGAAACGATCATTGCGGGAAAATTGTGGGCCGGGACTAAGATTTTTGAACGATCGATGCGATAAAACGATAGTTCGAGGAACGATAGAAGCGGGAAAATGTAACATTATTTTATATGGGATGTATTCGGGACCGAACAAAACGGACGATGCATCCGGGAAAACGATAGTTCCGGGAACGATGGATAGAGGTTTCACTGTATTACAGGCATTTGAAAACAAAGTGCTGAGAAAATTTTTTGGCCCTAAGAACGATAAAGTATGAGGCCAAATTAGGATATTACATAATCTAGTATTGTCTGGGCTGGGCTAGGATGGGGCAGACAAGAAATACAAGCAGATTTTGTAGGTAAGTGTAGGATATCTGCCTGGAAGACCAACAAGGACATTTTATAACATGTATCTTAAGGCATAGGTTATGAGATGGATTGATTTAGTTCAGGGTTGTATTTGTGGTGCTGAACTTTGGGTTCTGCCAACAATACATTGTGGTATGAGGATTAGGAAGTCTTGTCTCATATGTCATTTGAATTTTTCAACAGAATGAAATATTCAATGCAACAAATTAAAAATTGTTTCCACAATTACTTGCCTCCACTTTGTTCTATCCTCTTGCTTTCAGCAGCTGCCTTCCTTTGATCTGCAAGCACCATTACTTCCTGTAGTGCTTTCTGCTGTTCTGTGGTCAAGTTGGCTGTTAAAATCTGATACCATGCAGGATCACTAGCCTGAATGTCTGAAAAACACACAATGACAGCACCTGAAATTTTATGGACATATCCTTCTTTGAAAAAACTGAGCAGCCTATAAAACAATGTTATGTTAAGAAATTGTGAAACAATGAACCTCACAGGCCTATTAAGGTCATTGGTATTGAGAAGTTCTGGTAGGACTAAGCTCCACCTACAATATTTTTTTTTAAAGAATACCTACTTTGCAAAACTTCTTTGAATACAATGTACTCATCAACATTACAATTTCCTTCATCTAGAGGGGTTGTATAGCTTTCCAAAGCAGTCTCCTCATTTACTTCATAGTCATCATCACTACCATCATCCGTATCTTCGTCCTGTTAAAGAATAACCATGTGTAAGTAATGATGAATACATTTATAGAGAGAAAATAAGTATTTTTTTCATGAAATCACTTATATTACTATTTGTAATATATAACATATTTAAGACATCTTCAAAAGATTAATTTAAGTGCATGTTCAAAATGTATCTCTACCAGCAACGATACAAAAAATGACAAGATTTTGTAAAGTTATGGAGGTTACAAAGCAGAGTTTCAGAAACTATTTGTCTCCACAACCCTTTTTGGGTATACATACTCTTTAGAGGAAAGAGAAGAATGATACAGAAGTAAAAGAAGGTAAAAAAGTGGGCAGTCTTACAATGATCTAAGTCACTCCCTGGTAACAGAACTCGCAGCTTTAACGCTGACAACACCAAAGCCTGCCACCGGTCACAATCCTGAGCTAACTCCATCCATTTGCGATCCTCACAGCCCACCTCCCTAAGATGCATCTTGATGTTATCCTCCCATCTCCTTCTTGGTCTGCCCAGTGGTTATTTTCCAGGAGGATTCCCTACCAAAATTCTGTATGCAAGGGATGCCTCCCTGAGTGTGCTATGTCCAGCCTAACGAAGCCTCCTAGACTTCTCTATCCTCACTATGCTAGTAACCCGTAAAATTCACACAGCTTCTTGTTATGCTGTATTCTAAATTCCCCACTTATTTCACCCCTCCTAAGTCCAAATATCCTCCTGAGCACCTTGTTTTCAATTACTTGTAATCTGCGTTCTTCTCCATGTTTCACAACCATCTAGATTACATAAATGAAAACGACAAAGTAATATAAATTTAGACCTAGAAAATGTTATGTTGCCAAGTAACAGCCCAAAAATATTGAATGTCAAACACTTAAATATCATATAATGTAAATGGAAACATTTCTCGTCCCAAACTTCCCTCTTTGGGATGGAAGAAGAAAATACTGAAGATGTAGCTGGTGTCATGAATCTACAGCCATTGTGAATGCAGAGTTTCTTTCTGCCCATGCCATATATTTTGTCTTAATGCACTTCTGAACCATCCATGGCAATACACTAGTTGTTTTTTGACGTAAATACGTCTATAAGGAAGGGTCATTCGGCAAAAGTGTAACGAAAAAGATCCAATAACAATGGTTACCTAGGGAACGTCGTCTGTTTACTCGGCATTATTGTTACCTACGAAACGTCGTCTGTTTACTCAACATTATTGTTACCTAAGAAACGTCATCTGTTTACTTGGCATTGTTGTGTTACCTAGGAAACGTTACTTGGCATTGTGTTACATTACTTTCGTTATTGCGGCAAGAACTGAGCTGTGAATCGCTTATAGAAGAAATGGGTCGTGGAGTAGATAATTGTGTGCTGGTAAAAACGTTTTACAATATCATAAGTACTTATCTTATATAAGAATTATTAAGTAATCTGTTGTTGCGTTAGTTTGTTGTGTCATACTATGTACAAGATGGATGACATTGATGCTAAAAGACTCCATAAAGCAGAATATATGAGACAGTACAGAAAACGTAAAAAAAATAGAAGTATTAGATAATGAACCCAAGGTTCCCAAAGAAATACCAAAAACTAATGCTGAACGTATAAGGTAATATAGAAATCGCTAGAAGCAATTAGTGCAAGTTAATGCTTCCACATCATTAGCAAGTACAAGCGTTCCTACAAGAATCGCACAACCAAGGTATGACAATGCAACAGAATATTTTCATAAGCAATTTATGCGTGAGGAACAAAGAGCAGGCGGAGTGGCTATGTACGAGAAACATGGAGCAACTACCATGGCTACCCCACATCTGTTGATGAAGCTACCTAAGGAGGATGGAGTAGATTACAGAATAGCTGCAGCTGAAAACAGAGGTGATATATGTGTGGCAGAGTGTATGGTCAATGGTGAAAAAGTTTTAATTGTAACCCTGTATATTTGTAACCACACACCTATTGATGGTTGTAAGAGATTTATTTTGAGTCATTTGAGAAATTATACAAAGATGTTTTCAGTTATGGTCACTGAAGATCCTAATACAATGCCGATAATATGGACAGGAGATTTTAACATTGATTTAAAGAAGGAGGAAAATCAAAGCTTTGTCACATTTATGGAGGAAACGTTTGGCGATGTCAAATCCTGAATGTAGTACTACTAGATCAAAATCCTGTATAGATATGGTGTTTGCACGAAATGTTGATACTTTAAAGTGCACAAATTTAAAACATATTTCAGGTACCACAGACCCATCTTAAGCATAACTAATTCAGGTTAAATAAGCAATGTCTTAATCAAAATTTACTCAATTGTAAAACATGTATAAAATAAATATTTAGAATAAAGCCAATATATAAACTTCCTTTCCATATAGACGTATTTACGTCAAATTCTCCAGAACCCTGGTTCCACTATCACTTTTTTTTGAACTGATTTATGTCCAGCTTTACAATAGTAATAGCAGTGAAACACATTTTTCAATACTATTCTGCAAAAGATATAACTATGTTACTTGCAGCATTTCAAAATAAAGCTCACAATAATAGCTACCATTTTGCTATGTTAAAGTTATATCTCATTTATCAAAATAAGACTCTTCCCTCATTTGTAGTTGTGGTTCAAAACACCACTTGTTTCTAAAGAGCAGTGACCTCAACTCTGAAAATAATGTTACTGAAGTACTTCACATTTGCACTGATCTACTCCAGCACAAATGACACAAACTTGAGATTTTCAGACATTCAACTAAATGTACAGAAGTTGAAAATACACATGAACCACGTATGATCATTCATATGCTTAACAGACTACTGGTCTGCTGGATGGATTCTTTTGGGCTGAAATAAAATGATTACCTCACATGTTCAATGTTGTCTTGTGATGTCCTTGATCTGTTGGATAAATGTCCTTTAACAACATTTTCCACATCTTAGAATTGCTGATACTACTAACAATAGTGTTATAATTAGGAGCACATCTTCCACATACTCACCAAACGTTTCTTTGAACACTCACTTGGTGGTGATGCCATAATTGATTGTTCCTGTCTCCTGCCTTTTCAATGCAAAGTACCATGCACTAAGTAAAAGGACATGCATGTATACCAAAAAAATATCAAATTTTTGAATCTATAGCATAAATAAATATGAATGTATACCACCCTGACATACTTTTCTTGTGCTTCAAATGGCAATGTGTAACATAACTGTGGTATTAATGGAGTGTAACACTAATTCATCTCTCAAAATATTTCTAATGAACATATTTTATCCACAGAGTAATCCAAAAACATAACAGCTCAGAGACAGACTTTATAATACCATTCTTATGCTACTGCGAAAAGCACTGAACACGTGACATTCAGTAAAGATATGAGAGAAACAATGTTGGCCTATTTTTAGGTAATGACCCAGCATTTTGACCGTGGAAACACCAAACAAATATTTTAAAAAAATTAATGAAACAAAATAACCAGTCAGAACAGCTGGCTTCAAGAATAAAGCATACATACTCCCAAATATGGGTAAGACATGCCAACAACTGGCAATCAAATAATCTTATTAAAGAATGTCCTTTCAATTTTGAATACATTCAGCATGGCTTACATGCTGAACTCTGTTCAATATTCAATGGCACTAATGAGTTCCAGTAGATTATTCTTTTTAATTAATGCAGTCTAAATTCATAACCAAATATGCAATACTGTGCTCAACGTTCAACGAAAACATGTCCCATGATGGGACACAAACCACAATTTTCAATTTCTAGGCAGATGTATTTCATATCTATCAAGCAGATGTGTGAGCATTTGCTCTCAAACCTGCATAGGGAATAAAAACTGTTTGTAGTAATCTACTCAGCAATTTTTCCTCAAAGAATGCAATACCAGATCATACCTGAATATAAGCCGTTATGTTGAATGGACTACCATCTCTGCCTTTTGTTACCTTTTCCTGTAATTTTTCTAGGTATTCCTGATTCGTATCATCTATTTCATCTTCATCACTTGACAAAACTTCTGAAACAGAAATAACATTGTTATATGGCCTTCAATAAAACTGGGGTTTCATATCATGTATACTGACATTCAGAGTATAAGCAGATATTTGATCTGACATCACCAAGTCCTTAACATAAACCAATTGTAGAATCATAATATATATATACTTAGAAAAGTAAATTTTGCTGCTTCCAATAAAAAAAATCCTCTCCCAAGAGAAATTACTAGGAGTTCACTAATAAGTGCAATGAAGTAACCCAAGCCAATGAAGTTAAGCGTGATGTAATTACAAGAAATTTCTGTATTCCATGTGAACAGACTGTGACAAGACTTTTGTAAAACAGCAGGTGACTTGAGTCTGTCATGTCCAGGGAAGAATCACTCAAAATCAGTTTCTAGAAACTTTGAAAAATGGGTGGCACAAACTTATGCAAAGTATGCCAGGAAGAATATTACCGTGGTGGATAATGCCCTTAATCATATTGTGGTGCACATACAGAGCAAGCCACAAAATTATTTTTTCGCTAAAAAGAAACAATATTCCTTTTGTAAGCACAATGCAAAAAAGCACAATTCTACAAAATTTGGACAAAATGTTCTTAATATCAGAGAAGTTACAGCCATTTAGTCCAAGCATAGACTTTCTGTGGACTTGAAGCCCTGCTATATCTGACCCCAAGCTGTTTAAATCCTCTGCTGCCGACAGGTTGAAACAAACTTCAGAATGAAAATGGTAGAATATTCAAATAGATGACCTACACAAGAAAGTATCTTCATGTGGTTGAACTGGAACTGTGATACAAGAATCCTGCATAACTCAAAATTTTGCATTTTGTGTATTAATGCATCCAGTTTTGTTTTAAATCATACAATGTAATACAGAATCCAATCAACATTTTCTTGTACTGCTCATGACAAAAGCCACTTTCCTCTACCATGCACTCTTCAGAACATCCACCAAAATTTCCATCAGATATATATGGACGGTCAATCCTTCAAAGCATTCACATGGAATTTTCTTACCAATAGAAAGGTGAACAGTGTATAACACATCACACAACAAACAATATAAACTAATCTGATATGAACCTTGATCAATGTCAGATTCTATATCCTCCTCCTCTTCTTCTCCTTCTTGGGCCTTGGCTGCAACATAAAATAGTACACATTAAAAAACATTAGCTTTCAAGCTACCACAGTGCTTTATTATGCATCTGAGCTGCCATAGTGCTTGTTATGCATATACAAATACAAATGTAACTAACCTACATATGCTCTCTTCAGGCCATCAAACAGGAGGATGAGTGAAGGAATGATCTGTGCAGCACACTCGTTCACTGCAAGGGGTCGAGCAGCAGACGAGTTCAAAAGTGTACACAAACCGAGCACACAGAGTTTTCTGTCATGGAGGCTATTGCAAACAACACCTTAAATTTAATTACATTACTTTGATAATTATCGAAACATACAACTCTCTCACACACACAAAAAAATCGCTGCTTCTGCAGTAAAAAACAAACATACCATACAATGCTTAATGTAATGTAAAAAGGAATTTAATGGTCAAAAAGAAATTAGCAATATAAACATACGGAAGGAATAAATAATTTAGTTAAGTAGCATACTAGGGCTAAATACAGAATTTATTTAATCTATACTGTACTGATATAAAGAACAGTTTGATGTTTATGGTTGTGTTTGCTTATGTTCTGAGAGGCCTACAGGTATCAATTATGATGCCAGATGGCAGAATGTCCTATTTTACAAGTGTGGCTACCATCAGGCAGTGTTTATAAATACTTCTTGAATGACAAAGACTTCTAAATAACATCAAGGGAAAGGTGTGAGAAAGGGGAAGTAGATATATGTGTGTAATAAATCATTCCCCATTGAATTCCAAAAGGCCTCTTCCATTAGTCTATAACTCATGCTGAATACATAAATTACCAGTTCTTAATGACCAAACTAAAACACCACGTTATATGTAAAATAATGTTTTGAAACATAAAGACAGCAAAATCTATGTGATAAAAACTGAGGGACCAACAATTTTTAACTTCTCTATTAAGTTCATTATAGGGAACACACAGCCAGAGTAAATATAGTATTTTACCCTACTTGGCATTTTCTTTGTTGTATGAAGGTCTTCATTACAGACAAGTATATAAGTTTTTTACTATATTATCCAGAGTACTTTGAATAAATGCAATAAGCTGAAATAATGGAATAGTTCCTATTGCCGACGACTCACAACTATACATAATCTGAACTGCAGTATATATTTCAGCAATCATAACATGAAGAACAAACACATGGGTGACAATGAAGAAAAATACTACAAGGCTGCAAATAATCAATGTTGAGATAAATGTTGAAGACAAAATAATTGTATGTATTAAACTGCATACTTATATTAAGGAACACTTTATTAACTTACAGACATTTTGATAATCAGGATTCAAATTTTCAAGCTCCTGGGGGAAAGAAACTGTCAATGTACTAGAAACTGGAAATTAAATTTGTTCTTCTGACTGTCCTGTGTTAAAATCCTGTATCTTCATCTCAGCTCCATGAAAAATTTAACAATCAATGTAACTTTCTATATGAGCTTGCATAGCTCAGTCAGTATAGTGACTGGCTACAGAGGACTTTTCCTCCAGCCTCTGTGTCCAGACAGGTTCTGGGTCCCACCCAGCCTCCTATCCAATGGGTACCGGAGTCCTTTCCCTGGGGTAAAGCACAGCTGGGGCATGATGCTGACCACTCTCCCCCATCTAGTGCCAAGATCAAGAATGAGTAGGAGCTATACCACCTCTCCCCCCAAGTGCCTACATGGCATTTAGTGGGACAGTTTTACTTTATCTTTTTTATAACTTTCCATGCCATTAAAATAGGCAACACACTCTTCTCTACATCCAAACAAATCTACGTAATACAAACTGCAAATATGTAAAACCATTTCATATTTGTAATACTTCTGAGAAGTATAATAGAGTGAACACAAAGGATTTGACACTGGTCTTCTGGCTTGTAATTCTATGCAGACTTATAGGCAGAAAATTAATATTTCAGAGAAACAGTCTGAATCTTTTGGGCTGAAGATAGAGATAGCATGTTTCTTTGAAAAACACATATCTACACACAAGTCCACACAGTGTCAAACCCAGAAGACCCACGTGGAAACTTAAAACCTTGCATACCATGCAGTGTTGAATATTTATCTAAAATATATAAAATCATGCATACAAACAAAACTGTTTACACATGGAAACCCCAAATTGTATGAGAATGAATTTGCCAACTTAAAATTAATAAACCTCTGATTATCTGTAATAAAATCTATGACACCATTACCCAAGGAAGCAATCTGTGTCATGAATCCACTGTTTGATGAAGTGTGATGTTATGGATTCTGTGGGAGACACAGCTAACTGCAGTTTCTCCAGTGTCTCAAACAGCAACTGAGGGTTATAATACAATGCTGCTATAACAACTTGGAGGCACATTGTACGTAATTCAGATGTTTTCACTTCACGTGTCAGTCTTTGTAGAACAAGCTCAACAAACGACGGTATGCACTGAAATAAAACAAATTTTCCTCTGAAACAGTTACAATAAATATATACAAATTAGTATGAATATTACTTCAGAGCAAACATAGGTACGGAAACATTCTTCACAAGAAAACACATCACCATATCACAAATGATACTCCAGTAAAACACAGAAATTGAGTTAAGTTAAATATACCAATGAGTGACATTTAATTCACAATTTCATTGCATTCCCTTAACAGCTACAATTATAACACAATTTAATGTTTTCATCAAATTTGAAAGGAATCACCTATGAAGAGGAGCTGTACCTGAACATAACACACTGCTACAAAACAATAATTTTGCTTTTACCTGATCAATATGCCCCTTACACTGCAAGATGATAACTTCCAACAACTTAGATGCATGACATTCTGGATCCTCGCCTGCATCTCCTGTAAGGATCTGAAAACAGTGATGTACAAATATCTTACATTAAATGTAACATAAAACACAGAATCCAAAACTCGAACATGAAGTTACTGCATCTGCACAATAAAGCAGGCTGAATAATAACCCTGCCATCCCCCCAAACCCAAAAAGAGAGCTGACCAAACTCAAAACTTATGATCACCTGTACAATGAATAGCAAATACTGCACGATATACATAATTTTTATACATCCTGACCATACGCTGCACCCTCTGGTCAGTTTCACACTGCAGCTTTACTTCTAAAGCAAGCATCTCAACCATATTTTGGTGAATCTGCAGTGCTGTATTTAATATATACTCATATTACAATGGATATACACATCAGTAAAATATTAAAGAAAAAAATCCCCCTGAAAATAACAGTAGGTGGTAACGTGATTGTATCAATTGATCTCTGTATCTAAGTACGTTATCTATCAGCCAATGAACCTATCTATCTATATACATATCTTTAAAAATTAGTATTACTCCACATAAAGCCAAGTGCCAGGTCAAAGAGTAAATGCCTAACTCAGGACTTGTACTGCTTGGTCAGGACTATGGCACATCTCATGGGACAATGAGATGCCAGTGGCATTTTAACACATAGTTAATTCAAAACTCAAAATAATTTTTCAACATCCACGTCTGTGTGCTATCTCTACTGTACTGAAAATGTTTGGACTCTTTTACCACATTAGAGGAACCTTGGATATCCAAAATGTAGGGCAAATTTTTTGAGCATTTTTGAAGAGAAAATGTACCCTTATACACTGGAAAACACAGTACAGGTAAACCTCGACTTGCGCCGATTCAGAATAATACGGCTTTTGTGCACAACAGTCACGTGAGCATTGGACACTCTTCACGGCAAGTCATTTGTGTTCAGCCTGATGAGGGAGTAAGGAAAAATGCGCTCATTTCGCTTCTTGTTGACACATTGAATGTGCTGAAAACTGTGTGCTAAATGTGTTTGTGTTGTTGTTCGACCACTATTCTGCAGTAGCAACTGTTTTATATTTATAAATTGTAGAAGAGCCACCATGCCTGGTAAGAGAAGTGAATGTGTTGCTAAGAAGTTGCGTAGGTCTATTGCGTAAGAATATAAGATAGACGTAATTCGTAGAATAGAAGGTGGTGATACCCGTCGTAATGTGTGCAGAAGTATGAAGTTGCCTCCTTCCACAATGACTACCATAATGAAAAATTCATATAAAATAAAACAGTCAATGCAACAGGCTACGAGAGTAAGTGCAATGCAAGTGAGTTATAGCAGAAGCAAACTTTTAGAAAGAACGGAGAAATTACTGTTGCTATGGGTGGATGACATGAATCAAAAAAACATTCCCTTGACTGAAATTGCTATCACGGATAAGGCGAAGTCAATTTTTGAGGGACTTGAGTCGTCAATGTTTGGGTGCCAGGAATGCGTGCCATTGACTTCCCATTGATTTACATTATAAAAAGAGTTTAAATTTTCTCCGATTCCATTTACGCTGGTTCGTCCAGGAACGCATTCCCGGCATAAATCAGTTTACCTGTACTTATTAAAGTAACAGTGCTATCAGACACTTACAGCTTTGCACATGTTGTACATAGCCAATACATAGTTTTCATTCGATAAGAAGACAGGTGTGTCTACTGTTACATAGTTGTGAAGCGCAGGCATCATGTCAGTAAAGTAGTCAAAACCATCCTTCTGAAACACCTGCAAATACAAAAGATTTTTATTTTTTTCAGGGTTAAATGAAATGACTACTATAAAATACAATTACCACTGCACATTCTTACATGTGAATAACAGGATCAATGAACATTTTATTCAAGCAGAAGCAAGAGTTGAAAAATGGTTCATACTCCATGTTTATACATTGCATAATATTTCTAGCATGTAAATTGTATCTTGACACACATCTTCCAAACATGCAACAAATATTAAATTTTAGACCAGGACAAGTTTATTTTAGAATGTTAGAATACAAATCCCAAGAGAAGTAATGGCCAAGGAGAAGTGCTATCAGAGTTATGAGCGGAGAAAAGACATTATGAAATTTATTATGTAAACTTCATAAGGCAGACTTACACACAAAATTCACATAAAATTTTTAAAATAAAGTGATTTAAGAAACAAAAGAAAATCCTTAGAAACCTAAATAATTTTTTATTCCCAATCGAGTGATGTTTGAGAATCTCCAGATTTGTGCACATATATAAAAATATTGAGCCTGTCTGTAAATTAATGTACTAACTTCATTTATTACAGAGTGAAGAAATTCCTTGCCTATTAGGGAACTTGAAGATCTTAGGAAAAAATATGCTGTTGGGATCTGGATTGGATTCATCTGGCTCAGGACAGCGAACTCGTGAACATGGTAAATATACTCCAGGTTCCATAAAAGCTGAAGAATTTGACTGACCAAATATTAGCTTCTCAAGAACTCTGCTGCATGGAGTTGGTCAGTCACTTACCTGATACATGAGCTCCAAGACTTTCCACATGTCAGGTGAAATACTTTTACTTGTTAGATCATAAACTAGGGACAGTGCCTCCTCATAAAATTCTGTAATCAAGAGAAAGCTATAAGCATTACCGAAGTCTGGAGGTAAAGGAACATACCAATAATTAGACAAGGGTTTCAACACCACAACAGTGAGCAAACGCAATACTTACCCATAACACTCTGAGAAAAGATATGTCCTACCACCTGCAGTACCGTGGGTTGTAGCTGTGCCATGACCTCTGGCTGGTCCTCCATCACAGTTAGCAATGTTTCAATAGTATTCAGTAAGCCCATTGCAGTGATGGCCTTCTCATCTGAACCTTCATCAGTCTCTAGCACTTGGCTAAATGTTGTTGCCTTCAAAAACAGGAAGTCAATGCATTAAACTTTTCAGCATTATTGAAATGCACTTAAAAAAAAGCTTTCATATGAGTAATTAAATCACTAAAGACCAACTGGAAAAAATGTTTAATTGCAAGACCATAAGAAGTAAAACAGCCCAACCAGCCAGTGGCAATGCAACTGAATGATTGTAATGTAATGTTTACATACTGCTATACAGTACGCTATTGTTGATTTGACAGAACTATTTCTTTTTTTCTATCTATATGGAAGTGTGTTACTTTGTATGTGTTCCTAAGATACTACAGGTGGACACAAATTTTTTTAGCTTACATTCTAAAGCTGAAAAACTGTAGGTTCAACTGTCTACAATATACTGATATATTGCTTTATGAACTTTTTTACTCCATAAATATGTTCATACTAATGGATGAGATGTGAGGTTCTCAAGTCACTGAAGATGCTTGGTTATAACAACATGTAGACTAATAGATAAACACCAACATTCAGAGGAACAAACTGCCTCCATCTTCAGGAATGAATCCAGAAGACCAACATCAACACTTTTATAATCCTAATTCTTCTTATTACCTTCCCTTGTATTCTAATAATATGCACAAGTTCATTTCTTCCATACCATACTTACCTGCATAATACTCCCTCTAGTAAAATAGCTGTTCCCTATTTTACATTACAAAACTAGTAGTATACTGTGCTTCCATGCACTTAACAATTTTTTTCCAAAGTCTGGTTTAAGAAACATGACTATTCTTCAATCAATGCATTTTCCTTTGAGTAGGTGCCATGATGAAAAATAGCCAGAACTAATAGTGATGTAGTGACTGCTATTATTCACTCAGAATTACACGAGTTATTTGATGTAATTCATACTTAGACTATGTTTTACTCAAAAGAATGAAAACAGAACAGATGACAAGAATCCCTGTAAAAATCTGGTGCATAATGTATAAGCAGATAATGTAAAATACAATTATGTCCAGAAGGACTTTTTGAAGTTCAGAAAGTGACACATTCTTAATTTCCTACAAATTATATGTTTTCATTAAGTTACAAATCAGGATTTCATTCAAATTCTGCACATTTAAATGATCACAGAATGTTAATACGCACACCTGTGACAGTTTGTTTCAGATGGAAACTGTGTTTTTCACTCATTCTCATTGCACCAGTATAATAACAACAGTGAAACGTGTTCAATGTGGGCCTTTCATATCTTTAAGTTAAACTTTGCTGGATGTACAGAAAAGCCAGTTTAGTACAACTGTTAACATATATTGTTACTGAAGTCACTTGTTTACACACATTACTTCCCACTCTTATTGCAAGTGTTCATTTTGCGCTGAACTACAGTGGAAATTTATGTGTGTAAAAATGTAACTGTGACAATAACATCAAGAGGCCAAAAATGATTCTGACTTGTAGCAGTGTATTAAATGCTTTCACCAGTGTGACTATTTCCCATAGGAGTTTATACTTTACCAGATGCTGGCACATCTCTACTGCAATAGGCATTAGCTGCTCGGTGTAAGTGCACACAATCTTTTGCATCACACTTGTCAAATCATCATTCTCTGTTTCTCTGATTATTGTCAGTAGTTCAAGAGTTATTTGTTTTATCTGCAACAAAAGAAAAAGTCATATAAAATTAGTAGTGGGATATACAAAACTGAAGCTGAGATACTACAGGAGATTACCATAAACAATTAATAACTATTCAGGGATTACATATAGTGCACTTAAGTGTAACACTAAAAAGGTAAAAATGGTAGCCTGCACCTTTTATGATACTGGTATATACATAGGTCAGAAAGTACTTGCTTGACATGATACCTACTATCATAGTAATACACATAAAACAATCTGAATGTTCATATCCACATTTAGGAAACGAACTATAAAATCCATGAACTTGTTTCCTTAATTTAGAAGTCTGTACCTGTGGTTCCACATATTTCTGTGCTTTTTCTTGTGAACTGAGCAGCATTTGTAAAGCAATAGCAGCTTCCACCTTAACAGGTAAATCATGGTCTGTCAGGAGAGCGTTTGTAGTCAGTCTGATGGCTTCTGCAAGGATTGCTTCCTGTTTGAATTTTATTTCACTGAAGTAATGCAGAACCCAACAAGCCTGAAATAAACAATCAATCAATTTCACCTCTCTCAACATCCTGAAAAACTGTTATGAATTCCAGAAGTTTAACATGAGTGAGGACACACATGCTTATACCAACTACAGTGAAACCTCTATCCATCGTTCCCGGAACTATCGTTTTCCCGGATGCATCGTCCGTTTTGTTCGGTCCCGAATACATCCCATATAAAATAATGTTACATTTTCCCGCTTCTATCGTTCCTCGAACTATCGTTTTATCGCATCGATCGTTCAAAAATCGTAGTCCCGGCCCACAATTTTCCCGCAATGATCGTTCCTGAGAATTTAAAATGCTGGGTTTAGAGATAAATTAATACCGAAAGACGCACAATGTTTTTGGAATAAACAGTAGCGGTAACCTGTTATGTCGCCCAACCAGCACATTCTTTTGGAATGAGGGTCAGCGGTGCAGGGGTGATAGTTGGAGTGAATGGCGGTGC